GGCGCCGGGCGCCCGCCTCCACCCCGGCAGGTGCGCCGCTCGCTGCTGGGCTTCGCGCGCTGCCGATCGCGTTTGCATGTCTGGTCTTGCCGTTGAAAGCAGTTCCTGTTTTCCGCCGGCCCTGCCCGCGCCGTGGGTCCGGGCGCTCCCGCCGCGCTCTCCGACCTGGAGACGGCTCTGCCGGAGTGGAGGCCCCGCGCCGTCCAAGCTCCCGCGGAGCTCCGCCCTATAACCCAGTCTGTAACGTGTGTCTGCACGTACGGCACATTCTACTTTGTGCGTCGTCTCTCCCCGTAGAAGATTATTTCTTCAGATGCGTAACCTCCTAGTGCCCAGGTGCGGGGAAGAGAAGGGCATTTATCTGCGGGTCCCACACTGGTCTTCAGTGATCCCGCGGGGACAGCGTCAGGGTACACTGCAGGCGGCCCCTGTGGCAGTTTTTCACCGCACATCTGAGTTTTCTGATAGCTCACAACTTGCCAGTATGAAAACTTGTTCTCCCAAAAGAAAGGTAAAATCGGACTTTTAAAAATTTTATTATTCTCTTTACCCTTTAGAGATTCGGAACAGGCTGATGAAATAAGGAGAAAGGCCAGAATACACTGTCCCTCTCCTCAAAGTACATAATTAACTCCCACATCGGCTTCTGAATGTTCGGTAGTTTAGCAAGTTGTCTGGGCATTCTAAGAGTGTGGTAGATTCGCTTTTTTCTTCTGGTTTCCAGACTGTCTCATGTGAGGGTTTTTTGTTTTTTGTTTTTTTTTTTTGTTTTTTTTGCCTTTTTGAGACAGGGTCTCACTGTGCAGTTCAGGCTGGCCTTGAGCTCACTTCGTAGCCCAGGCTGTCCTCAAACTCACAATGATCCTCCTGCCTCAGCCTCCCAAGTGCTGGGATTGTAGGAGTGCTGGGATTACAGGTGTGCACCACCACACCCGGTCTATATTTTCATTTTTGTTGGATGCCTAGGGGTAAAATTACTGGGTCATGGAGTAACTACGTTTAATCTTTTTATTTTTCAGTTCTGGGGATCAAACCCAGGGCTACCTGTATGCTGGCCAAAAGTGCTCCTGTTGAGCTACATCCTCACCCTCATTTTACCTTTGGAGGAATTGCCAGAAAATGATTCTTGGTATTCCAAAGTACCATTTTATAATCCTGCTAGTAGTGTATGAGGATTTCAGTGTCATCACATTTTCACCACCACTTGATATAGTTTAACTGCAAATTTGAGATGACATAATAACATTATAATAACTAGTTTCATAGTAATGTTACTGAAAAATAACAAATTTATTTATTGATTGATTCATTGATTGATTGTCCTTTTGAGACAAGGTGTCACTATGCAGTTCAGGCTGGCCTTGGGCTCACTTTGTAGCCCAGGCTGGTCTGGCACTTACAATGATCCTCCTGCCTCAGCTACCCGAGTGCTGGGATTGCATGCATGTGTCACCATGTCCAGCTTTTTCTGTCTTGTTGAGACAGGGTTTCACTGTGCAGTTCAGGCTGGCCTAGGCTGGTCTCGAATTCACAGCAGTGCTCCTGCCTCAGCCTTCCAAGTGTTGGGATTCTAGGCATGAGCCACCATGCCTGCCTGAAGTAATTTTATAGGACTGTTCTAAAGTTATGCTTAACATTTTACAGTAATGTTTAAATTATAAATATAGCTTTGTGATAATACTACTCTAAGTTTATAATTTACTGTTTTCTTTTTCAGAAAAATAGATTATATCTTGGGTTTTTTTAACCTTGCAGTTGCATAATAAATTGTAAGAAGTATTGGAGTTAATTGAGGTTAAATATGCCCAGTTAATGTACTTTTATGGCTTTTTGAGAATACTGGTGTGCTGGACATAAAAAATTCCATTTCTTTGTATGCATGTCAGCTGTGTCCTGTGTGTTGGGCCTTTTCTGTATTTTGATACTTCATCTGTGTTGCTTTATTTGAGCATTTTGCCTACTCCTGAAAGTCAGTATATTATGCTCACCTATGTATAAACTAAAGCTTGAAAAGCAAAAATAACATTCCCAAGTTCTTGTGTGAGGAAATGACAAGAGCAGGGATTTGACTCTGTTAACTGTCAAGTACCCTATGGCTTCTCTTCGTTTGCGTGAGAAGGTGATGTTTGTGTGTACTGGCACGTGGTGTAAGTTGGAATGCTGTGTTTTGTAAAAGCACGGATAGTAGCAACAAGAACGTGATGTAATGAAGGAGTGTGATAACCAGTTTTCTTCAGTCAGTGCTCTGAACCACAGTGGCTTTGCAGGTCAGAGTCGTCTTTCTCTCTCTTGCATCATTAACTGTAGGAGATGCTGCAATCTTACAGGCTTGGCATTTGGACGTAGGTGGCCACTGGGAAAGGACAGGGTGCCACTCCTTGTTTGGGCAGTGCTGCCCGCCCGCGTTCACACGGCAGCTCTGTGGTGGGCTAGTGGACGTGGAGTGGGGAAGCAGGGGCAGAAGGGGCGGTCCGAGCCTTGCTGTGACCTCTTGCCGTGGCAGCTTCTGGGTGGAAGGTTGTGTCTTTGTATTACTGGGAGTTGGATGTAGATGCTCAGGTATTTCTGTTTGTTCTAAAATTTCTTGGGGCTGGGACTTCAGTGGAGTGAGTTCAGTCCCCGGGACCAAAATAAAATTCCTGAAATCCGAAAGTATTTCTGTCTTGCTCACTGTTGTAATCTCAGTGTAGGACAGAACTTAGTGTGTAGTGTAAATGTACATTTATTGTGTGATAAGAGGGGATACTTCCACAGAACAGGGTAGGTCTCACCTTTTCTGTTTGTGTGATCATATGATCACGTGTGAGTTTCTTAGCGTAGGTTGGTTTTGGTTTCCTCATCTGCAGCATGGAGGTACTAAATTACCTGCATCCTAGGGAATATAATAAAAGTGGAATAACATAACATATACAAAGTATTTAGCATAATGCTTGGCACACAGTAACAGAGATTGCTTGCTGTCCCTGAATGTATACTTACCTACTTTTTGTCACTTTCACTCATTCCGATCATGATAGTTATTTCTTAAAGAACTTTGAGTAGGAGGTTTATCTTAGTTGGTTATAACACAGTGTAATTATGAGAAAGGTTTATCACTGTCGGCTTATCCCAGGAGCGCTGGTTATTTATTTTATTTTTCCTGCCTTGTCCTGTATCTAAACCCAGTATCATCAAAGAAGTACTGAGGAAAAAAATGAAATTAGTGTGTCTGTTCCCACTTCTTGGAAAGTGATTTAAACCATACGCCACTTTGCTGATGTGTTAGAAGAATCAACTTTATATGCAACATAGAGCATTATGTAATACTTACGACCATCTCTGCTTTTGAAAGAATTCCTAGAAATATGACCCTTTTTTCTTCTTTTCTAATTGATCCTTGGTCAGAATGTTCATGGGGATGAGAATAGAAGAAAAATGCCTATGGTGACTAGAGGATATAGTCTGTAGTCGTAACCAAAGCCCATTGGATCTGATATATTTGAGATTTCCAAAATTTTCGGATTTTACAAAGATAATATGTATTACATAACGGCCCTGAGGGGGCCTACACAGTTCCTAGCACATTCAACATTTTTAAAAAGAAATGTAATACTTCTACATTGTGAGATAAATAGAACATAAATAGCTTTATATCTGTAGAGGTTAGGTTTTGCTGCCAAATGAACTAAAAACCTATAAAATTGTTTTTCCAAACTATAGCAGCTTTTATTTAGCATAGTGTTCCCGAGTGTGGTGGTACATGCCTGTAGTCCCAGCTCTTGGAAGGCCGAGGCAGGAAGATCAGTGGGTTCAAGGCCAGTCTGGGTTACATAGTGAGACCCTGTCTCAGGAAAAAAAAATCCATTAATTATTTACCATAAGGTGTTTGATACTCATTCATGTGGTTGTGTTTATTAATAATCCATTCCTTTTTAAAAAATAATTTTAAAGTTTTAGTAAGCGTTTGCAGTTCATACAGTTTACAGTCTTTTGGGGGAATGGTTACATGTGCATATATGACAGCTTTTTTTTTAATCCCCTTCCCCTTCACCTCCCTCCTCTGCTGCCCTTATCCTTTGTTTTGTACCTGTTGATACTATTTGTCTTAGAAGGCGTATAGTGGTCACATTAGTTGGCATTATTAGCTTCCTGCACATGGCACATCTTTATTCTTCTCGTTCTGTGAGAAATGTATAACCTTTTGTTGTATGAAAGTTTTGGTTTTTGGGTTTGCAGATGAGTGATTGAAAACCTCATTTGCTCAAAAATATGTAATGCTGTTGGAGTACTTGATTGTTTTTGTTTTGTTTTGTTGAGGTAGGGTTTCCCTGTGTAGCCTAGGGTGGCTGCCTAAGTGCTGGAATTACAGGAGTGTGCTACCACGCCTGGAGAAGTTCTTGTTTAATAATAAACTTTAAGTCAATATTTTCTTGTATAACAATATTTACTGTTTTAGTTAACTTGAAATAAGTTTATAGATATAGAATCTTAAGGTCAGAAAGGAGCTATAAGCTATATATTATTAAAACCTTTATAATTCCTATTGAAAGTAAATTTTTATTAATGAGATACTGAGTTAAATTAAAATGATCTATATGTTGTCAGAAAAAGTTAACTATTTTGTTTTAGGTGTAAGGCCAACCAATCTTTCTTTCTTTTTTTTTTTTTTTTCTTTTGGAACAGTCTCGATAGGCAGTTCAGGCTGACCTTGAGCTCACTTTGTAGCCCAGGCTGGTTTAAACTTGCAGCGATCCTCTTGCCTCAGCCACCTGAGTCCTGGGATTTCAGGTGTGTGCCACCACGCCTGGCTTAAGGTCAACCAGTTTAAAGTGAAAAAATTATATGACTGGAAGCTTGTACTTGATTTTATATTTTAGTGTAACACTATGAAGGTTTTTTCTTGCTTCTTCCTGTAGGGTACATTGTGAGGGATATGCTTTGGGACTTTGTATCTGGATGTTCTGTGTTTCATTGACTTGTAGGATGCTTAGTTTTCAATACTAATATTTTGGAAAGCAGGATGAGTGATATATATTTGGCCAAATGGCTGTTTGGGTGTACTTTCATCAGTAGATCATCAAGCCCAAAATCAAAACTGTCCCAGAACTATCACAGTTGGTGGTAATTGGCTTGGAAGAAAATCTGAGAGACACTGGTAGAATACTCTTTAAGTTCTTAGGAACTAAGTCGCTGTGAGCAGCAGTGGGGGTGGAAAATAGCGGCACACACCTTCCATTGCCTGAGAGCTCATGGCATGGACTCTTCTATGGATTCTTTTATGAGATGCTGCATTACTAGCCTTTGATGTAAAAGTATTTGTGGGATAAAACCAGAAATTGTTGAATCTGAATCAAAAAGTGACACTGAAGTGCCCAACTTTAAGTGTGAAGAAGTTCTACTAATGTCCTAGGTGATTTGCTTTGCTTGTATTTTAAGTTTCCTGTATACAAAAGGTGATAATGTAATAAAAAGTATGCCTAAAAATTCTTTCAGCAAATAAAAGTAAAAGATAAAACACTGTCATAATTTTTCGTATTGCTGGTGTATGTGATTATGTGTTCAGAATGAATATTAGGTTAAATGCAATATGATTATGTGAATGTATTAAATAAAACATAAAATTCAGTATATACCAAGTGGAACAATTTGACCAAAAGCTATAGGTGGTACTATTTCTTCTCACATAGTTTTATTCCTTATTTACTTATTTATTTGGGTTTCTTTGTTTGTTTTTTAGATAAGGTCTTGCTATGTAGTTTAGTCAGGCCTTAAATTCACTGGGTAGCCCAGGCTGGACTCAAACTCGTGGCGATCCTCCTGTCTCAGCCTCCTGAGTGCTAGGATTGCACATGTGTGCCACCACACCAGCTTTTTTTCTCTTGTAATTCTTTCATGAGTCATATTTTGTTCCGTTTTCATCATCTGCCTGGGAGCTTTGACTCTAGATGGGATTGACATTGGATAGGCTTGTGATCCTAACGTAGATCTTAATTTTGAATTTTCTTTCAGAATCCCCTCTTTCCAAAACCTGAATCAGGCAGGTAGCAGTGTTCTTGTGACAGACTGAGATACAGTGAGTAAGGTGGAGAGAGGCTTTATGAGAATTGTAGCCGAAATCCGCTTTCCTACTCTCCGTCTGTCTGAGTAAATGCTAGAAGTGCTGTGACATCTGTTGGACCTCCTCTTTCCCAGGGCTGGCTCCTTCCTCAGGCTGGAGTTCTCCATGGAAATCTGGGGCATATTATACTACCATGATGAGAAATTTTACATTCTAGTCAGGACACACATGTAAACAAGTACTGTTGAAAAGTAAATGTTCACAAAACAGTGGATGTCAATTAGTTCATAGGTGCTAGTCATAACTCAGTAGATTTTATGATGGCTTTCAACTCCCATTTGAAAGACACAGTATGTGTGTTATATGTGCCTTTGTTGTCAGAGCCACATGACTTTGTTGGCTAGTCCTTGCTTTGGTGTCATAGGAATTCACTGTGAAACTATTTTGTTTTATAGGCTGGAGCACTGGATTTGCTGAAAGAGCTTAAGAATATTCCCATGACTCTGGAATTATTACAGGTATGTGCGTTTTTTTTTTTTTATTATTATTTTAAAGAGTAAAAGAAGGGTAACATAGTAATAGGGGGGCTTACCGAATTACAGACAAAGTGGTAGGAAATTATCAGTGGTTGTTGTTTTACATATTGTTACCTACAAGATAGTTTCTCAGGAAAACAAATAGACAAATAATAGTTACAAACAAAAGTGGTAGGAGATTATCAGTAGTTATTGTACTATAGTTTGGTATCTTCAAAGTGGTTCCTAAAGAAAATAAATAGAGGTATACATGAGTGACCAATTGAATAGTCATTGACTATTCTCAATGGTTGTTGTAGGAAACACATAGTAACAAACATACATCCATTTATGAAATAGCATAGGAACAATACAAACATTACAGAGTTATGGACAGATTAGTAGGAAAATATCAGTGGCTGCCGTAATACATGGTGGTATCTTCAGAGTGGTTTCTCAGGAAGACAGAGATATGCAAGGAAGATCTAACACGTAGTTTCAGCCTAAGGGTTGTGAAAAATAGTGTATTACCTCCTCAACAGTGACTCCTTTCACTGAGGTTTGACGGCTGGAGGAGGGCCAGGATTGAAAAGAAGGACCTAGAGACTTGCACCTGTGTCTAGCAACAGGCTGTTTTCTTTTTCCTCTATAGTCATGATTACCCCGGGCTCCTCCATGGAGATGACAGTCTGGCCAGAGGGAGAAGGCAGAGTATGCCCTGGACCCCCTCATTTCTGTTGAACTAACTGGTAGGATGGGTCTGAGCTCTGGGGCCTCTGCTTCAGAGGGCAGACTGATCTCCAGTGGTCACCTTTGCATTCAGGGTATGACCCAGGGGGCTTCTTAGGGCAGTCTGTCTTGAGGTGGCCTGGCTTTTAACAGTGCTAGCAGATGAATGCAATCATCAAGTTCTTCTTGGGGCCCCAGGAATCAGAAGTAGGGTCTCTTTCTCTTAGTGCTGCAGCAAAAGCAGCTGCTTTTTCTCGGTCTCTTTATTTTCTCTCCTTGGGCTCCTCCTTGTCATGGCTATAGAATACTGAGGAGGCAATTCTTACTAACATCTCAAGTGAGCCATCTGGGGCAAAAGCCGTTGTTTGTAGCTTTTTCTTTCCAGACTCCCAGCGCCTTGGGACCCCACAACCACTTAGTGTCCTCTCCCCAACCGTCAGCACAGGCAGCAGGAATCTCGGTGCAGACCTCTCTGGATCTCCCCGTGCTCCTCCACTGCAGCCTGTACTGTCAGGGGAAGAATGGCTTCCAGAGGGTCTTCCCAGGTATTGTGTGAGGTCCTCCTGGTTTCCAGCTTCCAAATGGCTCTCGTGACCCCGGTTAACTAGACCTCTGAGTCTTCGGGCATAGTCTGTCTTCTTGTGTTCTCTGAGTCCTTGTTCAGCAGCTGCTCCTCCACTGACTCTGGACTTTTCTGGTTCTTAACAGCAGGGGCAAGAGTGACCTGTTGTGTGGCATGTATTCCAAGGGTTTTCTCCATGTTCGGATGATTCACTCACGTCCCTCGGCTGGCCTCCGTGGCTGGTGCGTGGCGGGCCAGTTGTGTCATGGCTTCTGTATGCCATGATAGTTCTTGACCGTGCGGCGGCAGCTGGCCTGAGGGCTGGCGTGTGCTAGCACACACTGCTGCACACCTTCCTAGGCACTAGCTGCCGGCCTCCTGGCTGCCTGCGCTGCTAGGGGCCTGCCCAAAGGCTGGCGCTCCCCACCTCGCAGCCTCCCGGGAGCCACCTGCCCACCTCCTGGGCACATGTGCAGTTAAGGGCTGGCCCAAAGGCCGGTGCTCCCCGCCACGCAGCTTCCTGGGCACAGGTGGCCCTCCTCCCGGCAGGTATGTGCTTATCTATATTAGTTTTTGAATTGGAAATTGTAAAATACAAAAAAGTCTTTACTACTGGTGTGAGGTTTTGGAACTGTCTCATTATGGTATGGATCACCTTTAACTTTTTCTAAGATGGCAATATAAATCAGTAATCTTAAATTGCCATTGTAAAAATTCGTTATCTTTCTCAAGAAGAATAAAATGTGAATTTAGGGTTAGCAGTGGGAATGAAATCATTGTTTTTCTTTTTTGAGACAGGTTTTCGCTATGCAGTTTAGCCCAGGCTGGTGTTGTTTTTGTTTTTTTGTTTTTTTTTTTGTTTTGTTTTTTTCTGTGGTACTGGGAATCGAACTCATATCCTTGCACTTGCCAGGCAGGTGCTGTGCCGCTGAGCTAAACCCCCAGCCCCCAGGCTGGTGTTGAACTCGCATCAATCCTCCTGCCTCAGCCTCCCGAGAGCTGGGAATACAGGGGTGCACTAGCACAGCTGGCTAATTCAGTTTTTCCCATATTGAAAGAACTCTGCTACCTTCACCATAACTAATTTTAGGACATTTTATCGCCCCTGAAAGAAACCCCATACCTTTGAGCAGTAGCTCTCTATTTCTCCCTGATTAGTCCCCTCCTTCTGCCGTAGGCAGCTGCTGACCTGCTGTTTGGGTGGGGATTCGCCTGGTCTGTGGGCTTTATCTGAATGGGATCATCACAGTGTGTCGCTTTCTATGTCTGGCTTCTTTCACTTACGTGTTTTCAGGTCCCTCCCTCTTGCAGTCTCTAACAGAACTTCACCCCTTTTTTCTAGATGGAACAATGCTGTATTCCATTGCATGGGCACTGCATTCATTGCTCTGTCTGTGGACATTCGGGTTTGTTTCTGGTTGTGAGGAATCCTGAGGCCATGTGTACAGGTACACGTGTGTGAACGTACGGCTTTGTTCATCCCCAGCAGAGTTGCTGGGTGATGCAGTAGCTGTTCAGCATCGTGAGGGCCTGCCGGCCCTTACCCAAGCAGTGGCACCGTTTCACATTTCCAGCAGCAGTACGGCTTGTAGTTTCTGTACATCCATGCCAAAACTTGCTGTGGTCTTCGGGTGTAGCCGTTCCGGTTGATGGGAAGTGGTACTTCATTGTGGTTTTCATTTTCATTTTCCTGAGGACTTCAGGATGTTGAGCATCTTATGTGCTTCTTGGCCTTTTCTGTATTTTATTTGAAGGAATAATTTATTTGGATCCTTTGTCCATTTTAAAATTGGATTACTTTATTATTGAGTTGTAGTAGTTCTTTTTTTAAATACAGTCCCTTATCAGTCAGTACACAGTTCACAGATACTATCTTACATTCTTCGGGTTATTTTTTTACTTTCTTGGTGGTTTTCTTTAAAACACAAGTATTAAGTTTTCATATAGTCTAATTTATGTTTTCTTTGCTTGTGCTTTAGGTGTCATATTTAAGATATTGCTTAAATCAAGGTGATAAAAATGTACTCATATTCATTTTGAGATGATTTTTCTGTGTAGTGTAGGGAAAAGGTCAAATTTCATCCTTTTTGGCATACAGATATCTAGTTGTTCCAGCATCATTTGTTAGGAATATTTTTTCAGTGAATTGTCTTAATATTCTTATTAAATGTCTTTTATTATCTTATTAAATGTCTTAAATATAATATAATGTCTTAAATATAATATTCTTATTAAATGTCTTATGTCTTTTATTCTTACAAAAATCAGTTGATAAAAATGTAGGGTTTTTTTTTTTTTTCTGAGACGGTGTCGTTGTGCAGGGTGTCATTGTTCAAGACTGTCCTTGAACTCACTATGTAGTTCAGGCTGGCCTGTAACTCCTTGGCAGTCCTCCTGCCTCAGCCTTCCTAGATCTGGGATTACAGGCATGTATCACCAAACCCTATTTTTAGAATTTTAAATGTTCCATTTGTCTGCATGTCTCTCCTTATATTAGATCACATTATTTCGGTTACTGTAGTTTTGCGGTATGTTTTGAAATTGGGAATTAAGTTCTCCAACTTGTTTTTCTGTCTCTGGATTGTTGTGGCTGTTTGGGGGTCCCATACATTTCTATCTGAACTGTAAGAAGAGCTTGTCAATGTCTACATAAAGACAGGTGGGATTCTCATACAAATTGCATTGAGTTATAGTTTGGCTTGATTAGTATTGCGATCTTAGTCCCTGGATGAGCTGTCTCTGCGCTTGTTTAGATCATCTTCCAATTTTTTCAAAAGTGTTTTTCTCTTTTTTTTTTTTTTTTTTTTTGGTTTTTCTCCGGTACCGGGAACCGAACTCACGACCTTGCGCGTGCCAGGCAGGCACTTTTGCCGCTGAGCTAAACCCCCAGCCCCAAAAGTGTTTTATAGTAGCTGTATAATAGCTGTATGCTTTTTACCTTAACATTTAGTGGTTACCTTCCCACCATGGCAAAAGTTCATGAGTGATCATGAAGGAGATTTTTTTTCTAGAGTACTCCAATCCGTTCATTTCTTGTAGCATTAAAGTAACTCTTGATTCTATTATTTTGATACCGGGACTCAAACTCAGAACCTCACACTTGCCAGGCAGGCGCTGTGCTGCTGAGCTGTATCCCCGGCTGCTCTTAATTTTAGTACTCATTCCTTTCTGCCTTGCCATCGTGCCTTGCCGTATGCGGCTGATTTTGAGTCCACCTAGTGTGTTGCACTCTCCACCCTTCCAGGGCGATGTCTGTCTTTCTGTATTTCTGATACATATGGAAACACGTTTTCTCTGCTGGAGTTTCACAGCATATATGGTAGTTCCTCCTGAAAACTTGCCTTAGTCATACAGACAAGAAAGCTGCTTGACTCCACAGTCGTAACATTCCTGTGCACTTTTATAAGCATACCTGTTGGGAATTTTAGCATACCAATTTTAGGAAAAATTTCTGTAATGCAAAGAATTTTTAGAGGCAAATTCAGACTTGGTTATCCAAGTAAATAGCTTCCTAATCCTTCCCTCCATGTACTTCTGTTTTCCCTGGAGTACTCCCTAAAGGAAAAAGAAACACACCTCAAATCTTATTTTTTCTCTACCCAGTTAGCCTAATTTCTTACTTTGACCGGGTAAGTTCTTCCTTAGGTAAACATGTTTATTACAGATAACTGTATTCTCAGTGTGGATTTCCGTAGGTGCTGTGAGATAACCATTGACTTTAGTAACCAAAACATCATGTAGTAATTACAGAGCACTCACATGCAGCTTACTCATTTTGTCTTTATCTCTTTACTTTCCTCAGGCCCTTCCTACAGTGCCGTTTTCTTTGCCAACCCTTGTCAGTCTTAAGCTTCAGAGCTACGTTAATACCTTAGGCCAGTTCCTGCATTCATTCAGAAAATAGTTTTCTCCTAGAAGAGTGAACTGCAGGCCATTCTGAGCTTGGAAATTGTGGAGTCCGCTTTGCTTCCCTCCTGTCGAACCTCACCTGCTCTCTTCAGCTTTCCAAGAGATGCAGCCACACTGCAGTCAAGCGCAAGTTCTAAACTCTTAGCAAAACTTTGTCCTCGATCTTTTTTGCTGAGAGTTGAATAATTTAGAAGGAAACCTTTAGTATCTGTTTATTTTTCTGCCTCAAAGCTGACAGCAGGGGTTTTCTTTCTCTTTAACCACTAAGAATTCCTTTTGTTTTTTCCTTCCATAGACCATATATTTTGAAAATATGTCTACTAACAACCACAACTTACTCAGTAGTTTACCATTTAAAAAATGTATCACCCACAGTTGGGCTGCTATAGCTGCTGTGCTCTTTGAGCACAGTTTGGAAATCGTTGAGAGTTGGAAAGAGCAGGTGCCACTCCTAGATTAAGATCCCAGCTTTGCCAGTTAGTGATGGTGCGTGCTGGGCAGGTTGTCTGTTGGTACTTCAGCTTAGCGCATCCTTAAAAGTAGGAGTAATCCTCTCAACTCCGAAGGGTTGTTAGAAAGGTTCATGAATGTGAGTATTCCCAGTAAAATCCCGGGCATATATTTCCTTTATGGTAAGTATTGTCTGGTTTCTTTCCATCCATTTTAATATCTCTTAGCCATAGGATAATTGCAGGCCCCCAAACGCCTTTTAAACTGCTGTAGGTGGCAGTTTTTGTTTGGACAGCTTCGGTGTAAGTTGTATCGGGTGCTTTGTGAAGTAGTACAGATGGAAGAATGTGCAGGAAGAGGTGCATGTGTAGTTCACGACTGCCTCGTGCTGCCTTGTATACAACTGTGTTTTATGTTTATTCTCACTTCCGTGTTTGGAAAAACTGACCTGATTTCACTGGTTAGTCAGACTTGTTACAGTGGTGCCTTGCAGGCTTGCAGATCGCTCAGTGGTTCAGCAGTGATGAATCCAGTGTTGGAGCTAAAGGAGTGTGTACCTTAAGTGTATAGGACGCTGTTGCAGAAATAATTGAAGCTTCATTTATTCTGAAGTAAAACAGGAACCTGAGAAAGAAGAAAGTGTGAAATACTAAATTGTTTGAAATAAAATTGGTGTACAAATTTTTTTTTCTTGCCTTACAGTCCACAAGAATCGGAATGTCAGTTAATGCCATTCGCAAGCAGAGTACAGATGAAGAAGTTACGTCTTTAGCAAAGTCACTCATCAAATCCTGGAAGAAGTTACTAGGTATAATTGATTTTCCTTTTACATATATTTATGACATTCTGTTTTGTTCGAGTGACGGTTGCATTTTTTTCCCCTCTATAGATATACTGAAGTCAGTGCCTCCTAAGAAAGGTGAGGGGGAGTCGGGTGTGGTGGTGCATGCCTATAATCCTAGCACTTGGGAGGCTGAGGCAAGAGGTTCACCACAAGTTCAAGGCCAGCCTTGGTTATAAATAGTGAGTTCAAACACACCCCAAACTACATAGTGAGATCCTGTCTCAAAAAACCAAAATAGAAATGGAGGGAGTGAAGGAGGGGGAGACAAAGAGAGGAAGGAAGGAAGGAAGGTAGGTAGGTGGGTAGGTTGGTAGGTTGGTAGGTTGGTTTAGGGCATTAGTTCAACACATTCCCACAGGCAAGTTCATGGTTTAGTAGATTAAGCTTTCTTGATCTCTGACACACCTAATAGGATAAGCTCTTTAAGAATTTTTTTTGTAGGAGGCTGGGGATTTAAAGTTACTACCCATTCATTTTGGCAGATTTATACAGGCACGTAATATACAGTACTTTAAGCCATGTGTGGTGGCACAGGCCTGTAATCCCAGCACTCGGGAGGCTGAGGCAGGAGGATCGTAGCGAGTTCAAAGCCAGCCTGGGCTACAAAGTGAGCTCAAGGCCATCCTGAACTGCATAGCAAGACCCAGTCTCAAAAAGACAAAAAACAAAAAAAGAAGCCTAGTACTTTAACCATTCCTTGGTCATGCCCCCCATGTCCCACCCTCTACCCTGTTTCATTTTTGGGTGAGAGATTTTAATGTGAAATAATTTTTTTTAACTTGCAGAAAACTTGCAAAAGTAGTAAAAAGAACACATTTCCTTTATTGACATGTTTTAAAATATTTACCATATTTATTTTATCATCATCTCTTTTGTTATTTTTTTTTATTTGAGAGTGGGTTGGATATACTATTTCCTTTTTAATTCTGTAGCCTAAATGTGTGTGTTTTTTTAAAGAACAAACTTGTTTTATTAATGCAACTATAGTATAGGAAATTTTTTTTTTATTTTTTTAGTATAGGAAATTTAACATTTGTATAATTTTTAATCTGTGTTCCATGTTCGAGTTTTGTTGATTTTCCCAATAATGTCCTTTATAGATTATTTTTTCCTTCTTCAGAGTAAGATCCAGTCTGAAATCACATATTTAGTTTCCTAATCTGGAATTCTTAAGCCCCACTCCCCTTTTTTTCACTTCTCATGGCACTGACATTTGAAGAATATGAACATGCCCTTTCCCGCCTGCCTTTAGTAGCGCGTACCTTCTTTGGGCCTCTACCGGTGCTCGCTCACCATTAGATGAGGTTGTAATCCACATTTAGACTTCTACTGAAGTGTGTTGTATTCCTAAGGTATAAAAATGCAGACAGGGTTACACTGTATAGTTTATTTTCTTTTTGTAACAAATAGGTATTTGTGGGAGATGCTTTGAGATTATAAAACGATGTTGTACTTTATTAGCACCTCTCCCCCAAATTTAGTATTTACTGACTTTTTTAACCAAACCAGTCCGCACAAAATGGTAGTTCCAAAATTGTGGTTTCTTTTTCTTTCCTTGTTTCTTTTGGTACTGGAGAATTAAATCTCATGACTCCATGACTTTCATAGTGAGGTACATCCCTAAGGGAAACACACGCACACACAGCTTTGAGACAGAGCCTTGCTGAGTTGCCCATGCTGGACTCCAAGTTGTGATCGTCCTGCCTCCACCTCCTGAGTACCTAGGATTACAAGTGTGCCACCATACCTGATTCACAAAACTGTGATTTTTCTAACGCTTCCACTTCTGTGTATTTATAAGTCATCATTACAATATAAGAAAGCACTGTCCTTTTACCCTCATTACCCCTAGTTGTATGTTACTGTGGACTTGTGGTTTCGTAGTCTATTTGATGGGTTGTAACGTTTCAGATTTATTTTGGTACTTAGTATTTACCTCGCCCCAGTTTTGGGTAGTGGTACCCCTTCAAACTGGTTGCCAGCTTTTGGAAAGTCCGCTTCAGTATTTTGATCATGTCTTGCATTCTGCAGCTACAAGACAGTATATGGGGCGTATAATCTAGCTTCCTGGCTCTAGCCCCGAAATCAGCCACTTCTCTAAGCAGCTTTCAACCTTTTATGGAAGAAAAAAACCAGGAAAAGTGAACTTGTTCAAATTTCAAAGACAATAGTAGAATAAAAATCTATTACTTTTAAGAGCTTTGAAACATACTAAAAATGGTAAAGCCTACAAAATTTGAGGAATGTCCGTACTGATTACCGGTTGTACTAGTTTACACGCTCGTGAACAGTGCAGAAGGGCCCCCGCCCCACAGCCTCTCTGGCATATGTTATTATTTGATTCCTTTATGATGGCCATTCTTTCTGAGGTAAAATGGGATATGCGTAATTTTAACTTCTTCAAAATAGAGAATGAAAATAAATGAATTATAAACCTGGTGTCTGTTTGTCTTCGTCTTTAAAGAGCAGACTCTGAAAAAACTTTATTCTGAAACAATTTCAAATTTTCACAGATGTAAAAAGAATAGTGGAAAGAACTTGCTTATATGTATCACAGAGAATTCCCCAACTATTAACACTTTGAGGCCAGGGATACAGCTCAGCGGCACAAGCACCTGCCTACAAGTGCAAGGTCCTGAGTTTAATTCCCGGCGCCAAAAAAACAAAACAAACACACTCTGGTACATTTGGTTTCTCAGCCCCTTTTTCATTTTGCTATAAACACATTTTTTAGACTGCTGTAACTAATGTCTTAATGAATACTTCTCTGCCTAAAGCTTTTTCTTAACTAGATTTGCTGCTACTGCTAGGAAATAGCACATTTTTGAATTCTTAAGATATTCTAAGTAGCCACCTTTACTAATGCGCTCGGTTTTCAGTACAGTGCAGTGTGGGGGGTGTTATTATAATCCCCACTTTAGGGGGCTGGGGACTTAGCTCAGCGGCACAGCGCCTGCCTGGCAAGCACAAGGTTGTGAGTTCGATTGCCGGTACCGGAAAAAGAAAACCAAAAAAAAAGAAAAAGTAATCCCCATTTTATGAGGACGTTGAACCACTGAGCAGTCCCATAGCTTGCATATAGTTGGATCAGTGGTGAATAACCAAGCAGGCATCTCTGCATACGGTTTGAGTCCAGAGCTGGAGCCCTTCCTTCACAGCCGGCTGTGCTGTATTGCGTACTGCACTGTATCAGATAGTAGGAATGCTTTTAAGTCTGTTCTTAGGCCTCTTAAGTGCTCTCCTTCCAAAAAGGATTGTGATAGTTTTCTGTGCCAAAGCGGTGTGGGAAATATTTCACTGCTCTTTTGGCAGTACTAGGTTCTTGCTGGGTCATGTATCTTTTTTTTGTTGTTGTTTGGTTTTTTTCCAGTACTGGGAATCAAACTCATGACCTTGCGCTTGCCAGGCAGGCGCTGTGCTGCTGAGCGAAATCCCCAGCCCCTGAGTCATATATCATTATTTTATCATTTTTTCTTTTTATTTTTTAATTTTAATTTTAATTAGTTAATTTTTTGGTACCGGGAATCGAACTCAGGACCTCGTGCTTGCCAGGCAGGCGCTTGTGCCACTGAGTTTTAGTTTTTGTTGTATGTCATTATTACGAGTCTTTAAAGGTGAATTATAGAGAATAATAAGGAAGAAATAAAATTGGCATGTGAAAAGCAAAGCATACATTCATGTTACATCACAAAATACCTGAGTTATATTTTAGGTTTGATAAAGCTAAACTTTATAAATTGTGTATAATTATGATCAGGCGCCTGTCTCTACCAGTGTTTCTCAACCTCATAGCTTGTTGGAGCTGTCTGGGGAACTTGAAAGTTGGCACCTTACTGCCAGGGATGTGGGCCGAATGGGCCTGCGCTGGAGCTCGGCACGATGTGTTCCCGAGTATTCTGATACATAGTTAAACACACGCTTTTCTGTATTCTGCACAGAAAGATGTAAAAAGTGAAAGATTATTTATATAGTCCTTTTGATTTACGTAGGAGCCAAAATGTAGATAAATGAGGCCATTTCTGTCCATGCACATTTTCTAAACGCAGTAGCTTCAGAGAGTTTTTAACTGATTGAGACATGAATGTTTCTTTTCATTGCTACTATATTTCGCCCAAAATAAGACCAGATCTTACATTAATTTTTGCTCCAGAAGGTACACTAGTGCTGAATTTCAGAGGATGTCTTACTATTTTCACGTACAGCAATCTACATTTATTCATGTACAGGAGCGTAGATAATTCAGATACCGTCATGTCATCTTCTGCCACAGCGCTGTCGCTCTCCAGACCCTGAGTTCGGGCCTCAGTTTCTCGTCACTCCATTTCCGGTAGCACCATTGGCCCCAGCCTCTCATTTCCCGCAGTCGAGCTCTCCTTGAACCGGCATTCTTGTCCGGGTAACCTGGTTATGCCGGTGATCTCCCATGAATTCATTCTTCCTTTAAGTCATGACCTCTGGCAGGGCAGGTTTCACACAGTTTCCTTTAAATCAAGTGGTAATTGAAGACTTAGGAGGCAGCAGTGGCAGTAAAATCAGTAAAATGATGACGGTTACGAATGATGGTGGTCCACACACAGTCTGTAAAACTGCAGGCACCAAAATTCAGAAAACGTTTATTCGATGCTGTGCATTAAGTACATACCTCACCACACATGTTGTATTAACCTATGAAGATTCGTATTACGGTCATGTCCCCGGCAAGTACACACAGTATTTGTGTGTTCTGTACCGTACTCTGGTCGTTCAGGAGTACAGCTCGAGTTCATCTGTTTACATAGGCATTTACCTCTTATTCAGAGGTGCCCAGTTGGGTATTTACAAGTAATTTATATTATCATTTACTTCAGCTGTTAATGTCAACAGTGTTGTTTATAGTGTTAATTAAATATTACTACCTTAGAATTCGCTATAGTGACCACCTGGCTGACCACCTGGCTGACCATCTTAACTGGGGCTTGTTTTGGGGCTAGACTTTATATGACAGCATCCTGAAAAAATCATGCTAGGGCTTATTTTCCAGTTAAACATTCATTTGGGGGGAAGTTCAGTACCGTTACATTGTCTCAGTCTGCTTTACATCTATTTTCAGTGTCTAATTGCTTGCCTCTTTTTTTTTTTTGGTCTTTTTCAGACAGGGTCTTGCTGTGCAGTTCAGACTGGCCTTGAGCTCACTTTATTTGTAAGCCATGCTGGTCTTGAACTCACAATGATCTTCCCTTCTCCTCCTCCTGAGTCTGGGATTACAGGCGTGTGCCACCATGCCTGGCTTTGACTGCTTGCCTCTTTCAGTCCCCCCTTTTTATTAATACCTGTGTGCGGTACATAATGATTGCATTCGCTGCGTGGAGTTGGCACATGCACATAACACATCTGGATTCTTTTTTCATCTCCTGTCCCTCCCTTTCCTCCATCTCTGGGTCCGGTCCTCTTTCCCTTGCAGAAGATCTGTCTCCCTGTTTCCCATTGCTCACCCTGAGGCCGTAGTGCTAAGTGAAATAAATCAGACACACAGGCCGAAATACAGAGCCTGTGAAGATAGTTGCTGGGTCTTACTAATCCTGAGGTATTTTGTATGAAAATGGTTTTTGTTCACCAAACTGGAAATAGTTGTACCACCTTAAATTTTTTGATTTCATGAAAAAAATATTTAAAAACCTTACATTATGTACTTTGTGCTGTCATTATGAAAATGACAGTGCTCATATGTTTTTCATAGTTTCTCCTTCCCTTTGTTCTGTGTGCCTTCTTCCCAAACTTTCAGGCTCCCGTTGGCATGTGAGTTTGTAGTCTCTACCCAGGGAGAGAACGGACAGTGTTGAGGCGTGCCAGGGAATGCGCATTGAATTACCAATGTGCGGTGCTAATAGAATATGCATGAACTTTGTGTGAGAAACATAGGATTTTATTCATAAATCCCCTGGTAATCAGTAATTTAATTTGTTTTTATTTTTAACAAATGCTAAAAACAGAGATTTCTTATTTTCAGATGGGCCATCAACTGATAAAGATCCTGAAGAAAAGAAAAAAGAGCCTTCGATCACATCACAGAACAGCCCTGAAGCGAGAGAAGAAAGGTACTCACTTTATGTCACTGTGTCGAGGTCAGGCAGTTGTACCTGGTTCATCCCTTCCTGCGTGGTCTTCTGGTCACGTGACTGTACTCCTCTTTTAATTTCGTAATCAAATGAAACCGGTACTGAAACCTAAAGGCTTTTGCCAGACTTCCTAGAAATTTAAGAGAGGAGTGGCAGACTGCATAAATAAAAAAAGTTACGTTGTACTCAGTACATTTGATTGAATGGGATTGCTGGGACAGGCAGCTGTGAAATTGGTAAGGAATATACAGCCATTCAAATGGTTACTTCTTCTCTTTACCACATTTTTTTTTTTAAGATTTCTTTTGGCTCTGGATCTCATTCTCCTTGCCCTTTTTCCTTACAAATTTATCTATTTATCCTTGGAACTTAAAATGCAAAGTTTACCTGTGAAGGATTCAAATTGTTCCTCAGCTCCTGTTGATGTAAGAAATGGTATAGGACCTCCAAATGATACACGGCAAATATTGCAACTCCCAACCTGCTAGATGCCCGTTACGCCGAGTTCGTGTTCCTCAGAGTCAAAGAATGAAATCTGAGGAACAGCGGAGTTTGGGAGTAGGAAGTACTTACTAGGGAAAGATAGCTTGTGCCTAAGAGAGACAGACGGGGACCTGGAAAGTGGGTTGCCCACAAGCCCTCTTCTCAGAGGAACTTATATAGAGCAAAATCACAAGGTGGGTGTAAGGTGTGACAGAATACGGTTGGTGAGATTACAAGTGTAGCTGCTTAGGTAGTACTGACCCAGTGGGGAAGCAGGTCCTATAGCAAGTGTGCATGGGAAGACAAGGCCCTTCCCTGGGAGGGGCGGGGGAAGGCCTGGTCCCCACCCCACGGCTGATGCCTGTGTAGACCGTCCGTCACCGCTGTTTGCCCTGGGAAGTAGGTGTCGTCACTCACCCTGTCCTGTGGCCTGGCCTCCTACCAGTGCGCCTCCGCCCACAGGTGACTGTGTCCTCACGCCCTGACTCCCTGGAGAGCCTGTCCTGTCTGCCTGCCTGAGATATTTCTGCCAACTCAGCTGTCTAACAGTATGAGGCCTCTGCGTTTATTCTTTGCTAACACATACCATGAACTCTGCAGTACCTACGTGTTGCCGTCATGGATATGTGTAATAAGTATTTATAACCACTTCCTTCATTCTTGGGAAGCTTGGAAGTTTTAACAATTGATGCTGCCTTGTAACAATCATTCTCAAACTCTAGTCTCTAGAAGAGCAAGGAGGCTGACCCCTGGGCCTTACCCTGGAACTACTGAGTCAGGAACCCTGGTGGTAGCCCAGAATTCCGTTTTTAAGTTTCTCAGGTAGTTAGGAGTCACCCAGGTTTTACAAGCTCTGCTTTGCAACAGTAACTTCAAATCAAAACTCTTTTTTTTTGTCCCTGAACTAACTTACCTACCTTCTCCCTCCCTACTCCTCCCCCTCCTCTTTGAGACAGGGTCTCATTGTGCAGTTTAGGCTGGTCTTGAATTCACCGTGTAGCCCAGCTGGCCTTGAACTTGGGGCAGTCCTCCTGCTTCAGCCTCTGGATTGCTAGGATTATATGTATGCACCACCACTCCCGGCCTGCCCTGAACTTTAGACTGCTACATAACCCCACTTAAGATCTTAGAGGTATTTAGGACATTAAGGCTACTACCTGTTTTAACTTTCTCAGTCCTTTGCCAAAATTGATCACGTAATCATCCTTCTTTTAGCGCATACACTGTCATTTTGCATAGTATTAGTGCTGACTATACTTGGTGTTAAGAAGAGGTAGGCCAGCAGGCTGGGGTGTGGCTCGGTGAGAAAGCACTTGCCTAGCATGTTTAGGTCCGTTGGTCCCTGCCCCAGAACGGATAGGTAAGCCAGAGGTAGAGTTAGCAGCAATTGTTCATAAAACGTGTGCAATTTTTTTATTCTGAGATAATTTTATACTTTTGGAAAATTTCAAAAATTAAAAAAAAGAAAATTTCAAAAATAGTACAAAGAATTTTTTTCTTTCCTACTTCGTTTTCCTTTTTTTTTTGGTCTTTTAGAGACAGGGTCTCACTATGCAGTTCAGGCTGGCTTTGAGCTCACTTTTAGGCCAGGCTGGCCTCGAACTCACAGTGATCCTCTTGCAGCCTCCTGAGTGCTGGGATTATAAGTATGCAGCACCATGTCCAGCATTTTTTTAAAAAAAATTAATTAAGTTCATTGGTACATTTTAGGTATTTGTAATGATGACATTCACCATAGGGAATTTGTACTTGTACATGACATACCTTAATTTTTCCCCTTTCCTCTGTCCTCCCTTCAACACCTCTTCCCCTCCTTATGTACGAAAGGTTTTGTTTCCATTTTTTCCTTTGCTCTTTTTTTCCTTTTCCCTCCTTTCCCTCTCCCACCTCCCTTGTTCCCTTCCCATTTGAACATTTTCTTCCTGTTTCACAATATCTGTTATATATTTTGGTCCTTATTTACCCTGTCAGTTTCTCACATCAGAGAAATAATGTGGTATTTACACTTGTGTCTGATTTATTTCACTTGAGAGTATGGTCTCAAGGTGCATCCATTTACCTAGCAGTATCTCAAGTTTATCTTTTTTATGGCTGAGTAGTACCCCATTGTATAAAAAAGTATATCTTTATTCATCGATTGATGGCATTTGAGCTGTTTCCAAGATTTAGCTATTACAAACTTTGCCTCTATAAACTTGGGTGTGCCTTTACTGCTGCAAAGTATTTTTATAAGTTCTTACCCAGTTGTTCCTATTACATACTTACGTGTGTTTCCATATGAATGAATTTTATTTTTGAACTAAATAAGAATGCAGACATTATTCCCTTTATACTTTAAATACTGTACATCAATTCATGTTTCCTAAGAAGTCTGTTTTCTCACTAAAAAGTGTAGGCCAAAACTTAATGAATTTTTAAATGTGCTTTTAACTATTTCATATTCAGGGTCACTGGTTTAATGCCTTGAAAACACAACTACAGTACAGCTGTCAGTATCAGGAAATTAACATTGATATAATGCTTTAATCACAGACTTCATTCATATTTTTATAGTTCTCAAAATAACATGTATTGCAAAGGAAAAATGTTTTTTTAAATTGTCGTCTAGGACCATATATTGCATTTAGTTACTTTTACCTGTTCGGTTTCCTTTAATAGTTTCTTAGACCATTGCTGTCTTTCCTGACCTTGATACTTTTCAAAAGTGTAGGCCAAAACTTAATGATATTTTTAAATGGCTTTTAACTATTTTACGTTCAGGGTCACTGGTTTAATGCCTTGAAAATATAAAATAATGGCAAATATTTTATTTTATTTTATCTTATTTTTTTGGGGGGGGCCAGTTTTTTCTGGCACTGGGAACCGAACTCATGACCTTGTGCTTGCCAGGCAGGCGCTGTGCTGCTGAGCTAAATCCCCAGCCCCCAAATGTTTTAAATATATAATGAAGGAAGAAAATTCTTAACATGTTTTCATCAGTTTTCTATACCTAAGGTTTAGTCATATACCCTGTCTACACACACACACACACACACACACACACACACACACACTGCACACATACACATGGAGATAAAAGAGGCTTGGAGACATAAGTCAGGTGCATTGTAAAGAATGATGAAGGTTAGATCTAAATGACTTGTGACTGAGCGCGGATTGACATTTTGGGTGGAAGAAGCCGAGATGGTTCTATGTTTAAACGGTTAGGCAGAAGCAGCAGAATGTAAGAGACAAGGGGCCCACAGTAGTGAAGTCAGGAAAGGGTCCATCAGTCCACCTGGGCACTTTCTGGTAGTTGAGCTAGGCGTATGACTTCAGCAGCAGAGCAGCAGATGCTGTTAAAGTATTTAAGAAGTAGATTTGCAAAACATTGATTTGTTCATTTATTACTGACAGCTATATCCAATTTTACCTCTTGAGAAATGTATAGTAGAGGAAAGTGTATGAAAAGCTGTTTGCAAACCTGTGTGTAGACATTATTTTGTTAATACAGGGGGACGTAAAAGAAGGTTTTAGGAAGAAGTGACGAAAGTTAGAAGCCACAGTTGACTTTGTCCCCAGAAATCTGTTCTCCAAGTTTTAACAATAGGTATGCTTTGGAGAGTAGCAAGGGTGCATACCCTTACAGCAAGTGTAGCAGGTTAAATCTGTGGAAGGGGAACATTTGAATCAGTCTTTGAAAAGACTGAGGGCAGATACCTTTAATGTGATAAAATTTAATTGAGCTGGGCCTGGTGGCGCATACCTGTAATCCCAGCAGTCCAGAGGCTGAGGCAGGAGGATCACAGTGAGTTTAAGGACACTTGAAATAAAATTTAATTGAAACTCATCAGAAGAGTGTTTTGGAATGAAGCTATTTTGGTAACAGTCCAATATAAGAAGTTAATCAGAAACAACTGAAATTACTAGATTCACTGGAAAATCACAAAGTGCCCTGATATCCACGTTAAATTGATGTTTTTGGGGAAATGAGACGTTTTCACAGTTGTTGGACTTCTCAGTGCACCTGGCTCTCCCCTGGAGAGCATTTGTCTTGTTAGACGTCTGTCATCGAGTTCAAATAGGGCTTCCCAGTTTTTTTTCCCCTCTAGTTTTTGTGGCATTGCCATGTTTTCTGGTGTCATCCTTTCAATCTTTTCCTCAAACCAAGATCTGTGCCTTTTATGTATTGTAATGAAGTATAATGTGTATTTTCTCTATTAAAATACTGTTTAATGATTAAAATGATCAAGGTAAAATATCTCGTGTTTTATTTTGTTTTTTTTTTTTTTTTTTTTTTGGTTTTTTTCTCCGGTACCGGGAACTGAACTCACGACCTTGCACTTGCCAGGCAGGCGCTTTGCCTCTGAGCTAAATCCCCAGCCCCAATATCTCGTGTTTTAAAACAGACATGAAACTTGTTCTTTTTTTTTTTTTTTTTTGTATCAGGAATTGAACTCATGACCTCACGCTTGTCAGGCATAAAACTTGTTCTTAATCTATTTGCAGTAATTTTTTTTCCTTATTTAAGAGTCACTGAAACACTAATTGATTTAGGCAAAAAGTTGCTTTTAGCATGGAAGTCATGTCAGTTTGAAACCACCTTCCTGAGGTTCATTGTTTTCTTTGGTCTGTTGGCGACCATGTCAGTAGTTCCAGTGGCAACGTCAGCAGCAGGAGGGAGGAGACCAACGCCCGCGACACCTACGTGTCGTCGTTTCCCCGTGCGCCAAGCACGGCCGACTCCGTGCGGTTGAAGTGTCGGGAGATGCTCGCTGCAGCTCTCCGGACAGGAGGTGAGTTGGGTGTGTGTCGTGTGTTCGTCTCTCAGCCCTTCCGCGGCCCCTGCCGCCTGCACCTCCAGGTTACTGCTGTCCAAGCATCGTAGCTGCCCCAGTCTCTGTGCAGCACAGGGAATTGTTGCTGCTCGTGGCCTGTGATGTTGAGAGAAAAGAGGGGGTTTGTTACTTATTACCAGGGCATCTGATCATTACTGTGTAATTGCAGGAAGTTGACTCCTTTAATACGGCTTCTTTCCCTGGTTCATAGTAATGCAAACTCTCCCCCACAACTCTCATTCCCCTGCATTTAATTGTGCATGTTACTTACCCTGTCTTCACATTGAGAGTCAACAGAATAGATTGTTAAAAGTTAGTGTGGCATATGGTAGGTAAATTTTGTATTCTTAATTCTCTTCCATTTTTTTAAGTCGAAAAGCAGTCTTGATTTTTTAATGGAATCTTTAATTTGAAGGTGTCTAGTCTTAGTATGTGAAATTTTGGCTTTAAAAAAGTTCCATATATACTGAAACATAGCGTGCTATTCCATAAATATGTGCAATTTAAATTTAGAAAAGAAGTTTCATATGCATGAGTACATGCCTTACAGATTCATACTTTTTTATTTTGCTGAACCATAGCTAGTTTGACCTACTTTTCTCCTTACACTGCTCTTTCTTTGATTTCTTCACTGTCTCTTTATATATATTTTTTCTTTTTCTCTCTAGTTTCTGTTTATTCCTTCTGTCCTTTTGAGTATTTGTGTAGGAGTCTTCTGAGGATATCCACGTGTGTGTTTGGCAGATGAAATGAGTGGTTTCCTAGAGGAGCAGCCTAGCGGGTGGTAGGAGCAGATTCAGACTAAATGGAAAGGGTTCTTTGTGTGTTGCAAATGGGGTTGAAGAAGTAGGAGCGCAGTGTTACCTTACCTGGTGCTGCACTTCTACTGCGTTACCATAACTTGGTTTTTATGCCTATTTTTAGATGACTACATTGCCATTGGAGCTGATGAGGAGGAACTAGGATCTCAGATTGAAGAAGATATCCTTTTGCGCTCATGATCATAATTGTTTGAAGTAGGCTAGTTAATTATAAAGCGTTTTCTTTTTTTTCTTTTTTTTTTTTTTTAATCTTTTTGAGACAGGGTCTCGCTATGTAGTTCAGGCTGGCCTTGAGCTCACTTTGTAGCCCAGGCTGGTCTCGAACTCACAATGATCCTCCTGCCTCAGCCTCCCGAGTGCTGGGGTTACAGGCGTGCCCCACTACGCCCAGTTTAAAGTTGTTTCTTTTGATGTATAATTTAAAGGTTTATTTTTTTAATTTCTCCTTTGATTTTATTTTTATCAAGAAGGAAAAGAATATTCATGTCAGTTTATTTTGTTTCTTCTTATCACTCAAAAGTAAATAACAGTTGTGTTGGCATTTTTATTTTTTTGCCTTGAAATTTGAGAATGTAGCATCCGAATTTAAGTAGTGCCAAAAGGGCGGGGGAAACACACACATCAGTGAAGATTTCTCAACGGGGTGCCTCAGCGGGGTGCACATTACCCTGGAGCAGTGCTGGTGAACCTCTTAGAGCTCTCAGTGATAAAGGCTAACTGTAGCATGCTTGCCATAGCACTGTCCTAGAGGGAAGCGTGTCCTTGCTGGGTACCGTAGAAAGGGCTCTGGGAAACAGATCCTGCCTATGGGGAGAAGAACGGACTGTCCGGGTGACAGTGTCACGTGCTGCTGTCCAGAGCTGTGTCCGCTGAGGCCTGCCCTGTGGAGAAAAACCTGCTAAACTTCCTGCTTGCTGAGTTGGGAGAAGAGGCGGACTTTGGGGGCCTGTGAACGGTTTCCTCTTGGAAGCACCCTGTAAGACTGTGGGGCGATGGCTCTGGAGACTTGGGACCCTTGAAATGCAGGTTTGGGCAAGTTAGGGCTGTATAATTTGGGCTGGGGATATAGCTCAGTGGCACAAGTGCCTGCCTGGCAAGCGCAAGGTCCTGAGTTCAGTTCCTTGTATCAGAAAAGAAAAAAAGGCTGTGTAATTCAAACTCCTTTTCAAAAGTAAGTTCACTGGATTGAGTCACTGCATTTTTTTTTTAATTTTTAATTTTTAATTTTTCTTTTTATTTGGTACTGGGAATCTTACACTTGCCAGGCAGGCGCTTGCGCCGCTGAGCTGTATCCCTGGCTCTGAGTAACTGTGTTTAAAAAAACTGTTGATTTTGCATGTTGCTAGCATTAAACATTGAGAAGAAAGCAATACTCACCCAGAGCATAAAAGTACTGACACTATTATTTGCCAGTTACAAATGAGAGAATCTGACACCTGTCTTGTTTTTAACTTAATTTAAATTGGAAACAATTTTTGTGAACTGCTTAAAAGTTTCAGAATTCTTATTTGGCTGAGCAGAAGAAAAGTGATCTTATCTTCATAATTTATTTTCCTTAATGACCAAGTACCTATATATCAAGAAATAAGGAATACAGACATGAAATACAAAAATAGAGTACGAAGTAGGATATCAAATCTTAAAGATGCGAAGAACCCAAATTTAAGGAAAAATGTATTGTGTGGGAATATTCCTCCTGACTTATTTGCTAGAATGACGGCAGAGGTGAGCATAACTTTATGTGAAGTTTCTGTGATGTAATTCCATGATGTCAAATGTAAAACTTACTTAGATTATGAAAGTGCTAAATAAATACTGCATATATAATAAATTCCAACTAGCTGTTCTGTTTATCAGAATATTTAACTCTGATTTGTATTTAATTCTGTTATATTTAATTTATATAAATATTAAGGGTACTGAGTATTAACATAAATGGTGTACCCCTAGTGTAGCTGTTTTAATGTTCTTTGTGTAATACATTAAATCACTATCTAAAACCAAAAATGTTTCACTTTTTATGAATTCATGTAGGATTGTGATTTCCTAACTGCAGATAGACTTTGTACTCTAAGGCTCTTTCCATGGTTGAACACTGTTAGGATTGGTTGTACGTTACGGATTGTTCCTTAAGTTTACATATGGAATGATGGAAAACATGAAATTCGTAGCTTACTATTTGTAGTCATTGCTATTAATACACAGCGGCTGTAGTGAATTTGTCTTTCTACATCGCTAATAAAACTTGCAAAGCTCTGTGTGGTGGTGCATGTTGTAATCCCAGCTACTCAGGAGGCGAAGGCAGGAGGACTTTTTTTTTGTTGTCTTTTGGAGACAGGGTCTCACTATGCAGTTCAGGCTGGCCTTGAGCTCACTTTGTAGCCCAGGCTGGTCTGGAGCTCACAACGATTCTCCTGCCTCAGCAGCCCAAGTGCTGGGATTGCAGGCGTGCGCCACCATGTCAGGCTGTCATTTTTTAAATCTGTTACCTTTTTTCTTTAATTTATTTTTAAGCAAATCACATACATTATATCCTTTTACCTTATATATTTAGGAGACATTTAAAAATATTCTTTCTTGTAGAACTATACTGTCATCACATTCAACAAAGCTAACAATTTCTTGGTATTATGTAATGTCTAGTTCATACTCATGTTTTCCTGTTTGTATATTTACTTTGTATCAGGATCGGGTCCACACATCACCCTTAGTTTGGTCAATGACTATTGAAGAAACCAGTTTTGAATCCCATATTATGAAATTATTCTTTGTCTCACAGTATGCATTTGTGTTTCTTTATGGCGTTACTAAATTTTCCTATCCTTTCTGCTTTCTCTACCCTGGAAACCAGTGCTGTAGGGCTGTTACAGTGAACTTCTCCTGCGTAAATACTTGATAAGCGGCGCTGCTTCCTTCAGCTGTCTCACGTCAGGAGGCACCGATGTCTTGGTCTCTCCTTCTAGCATGTGTGTCTGTGGGCTTCAGTGGTGGTGTCCTCGTTAAAAATTCTCCATTTGCCTTTTATCTGTTGAGTTCATCAGCGAGTGAACACAAACTTAGTGAATATTTGAGGAAATAGTTAAAGAAGGCAAATTCTTACAAGGACTCTGAGGAAAAAATAATTGAAGGTTTTTAAAGCTGATTTAATTGTATTAATGTTAACAGCATAAAAGCATTGAGGGTGCAGGACGGAGATACGTACTTACGACTGTGATACTGCTGCCTCTCATAGGAAATGGCCAGTGATGAGCTCAAAGAGATGCGGAAAAACTTGACCAAAGAAGCCATCAGAGAGCATCAGATGGCCAAGACGGGAGGAACCCAGACTGACCTGTTCACCTGTGGCAAATGTAAAAAGAAGAATTGCACTTACACGCAGGTTTGTGACTGCTTACACGTGCTTGTTTTCACATGAGGAATGTTTTCAACTCCTGCCAGCCGCGGTGGCGCATGCCTGCAGCCCCCGCATGCAGGAGGCAGAGGCAGGGGGATTGTGACATCTCGCGGCCAGCCTTAGTTGCATAGTGAATTCAAGGACAGCCTGAACTGTGTAGTGAGACCCTGTCTTACCCTGCCCCAAATGTCTGCAGCTTCTGTTGTTTCAAACAAGTAACAAAGATAATTACTAGTACTTTGTGTGATATTCTTAATACCGATTTCAGTTAATGAAAATAAGTAGATGTAGCTATGTCTTCATGAAAACAGTTTCTGAAAAAGCTATAGCAGTTAAAGTGGGATTGAAAACTGGTTTCTTCCACATGCATAGACCAAACTAAGGATAGTGTGTAGACTAGATCCTGATACAAAGAAAGTACGTTAACAGGAAAACATAAATGTGCACTAAACATTACATAGTACCAAGACATGGTTAGCTTTGTTCAATGTGGTTCAATGTGATGACAGTGTAGTTCTGTAAAAAAAATAAAATGCCTCCCAAATATAGAATTGATAAAATGTAGGCGATAGTAGAAATAACCATGTTTTCTCAGTGCTCATAAGCAGTTGGTAACTGGTTAGTTTGTAAACTTTAAGGCCGAAGTCCCTTTTAGTTTGTAGGCGTATATGATGTGGAGAAAGTTCTCCGCTTGCTCACACAGCACTTGCCCACACAGCGGGCGGTGCTGCAGGCTGCCTGGCTTCCAGATACCTGCTCGTTTTTGTCACGCATTGGTGACTTTCCTGTGCGTATATAACATGATTGACTTTGCGTTCTTGAACAGCTGGAGAAAATCATGTTACAGTTTTTTGGTTGTACATGTCTGTAAAAATGCTTATTACAGTCTTCATTGTATTTGCCCCACAAGAGTTTTTGTACTATTCTTCCAATCTGCTAAACGCAAAACTTCCTCCCTTAAAGAGCACAGTATGTTTCATTTGTTACAGTTCGTGATACGTGGTAGAATGTAGTGTGAATTTCTGCCTTTTACTTTTTACAGGCATATAGTACTCCATCCTCAGATACGCTTGATTTAACCTTGTTTAAAGCCCTTTACCTTTTTGAAGTCTTTATTTTGTAAGAGTTTTAAGTCTGGTACTTTAGTGTTTCATTTTGTGGAAGTATTAATACTGAAAAGTATCAACATATGGTGGAAGTGGTTTCAGAAAATTTTGAGTTTGCATACAGTATTTTCTTTCAATCAGCTAGAAAAATCTCAGCCAAGTAGAAGTAATATAGTTATATTAGACTACAAACAGCTAAGATGAAAAATACACGTCAACTTTGTTTCTTTTAAGAGAAAGAACCTAGAACCTAGTCTAGAAGGTAATGCATTTTTAGATTTTTTTTTAATCTTGTTTTGTGTTTTTTGAGACAGGGTCTTGCTATGTAATCCAAGCTGGCCTTGAACTCACTATGTAGTCTGCCTTGAACTTGTGGCAATCCTCCTGCCTCAGCCTCCTGATTGCTGGGATTATAGGTGTGCACCATCATGCCTGGTGCATCTTCAGATTTTTAAAAAGTCTTCCCAGATTGTCATGGAAATAATTAATATAGGGAACTGTGACTCTACGTTACCATGGAAACACTAAGAGATTAAACTTTTCCCAGTGAAGAAAAGTTGCTGTGTATCTATTTTTAGGGCTCCAGAAAGCAGTAGTGAATTTATATAAAGACTTGTAGAAGGACTGTCTTATGTGAAGGCCTCTGAAATAAGCAGAAGTTTCCTTTTGCTTTTATTTTTTTGTTTGTTTGGAGTTTTTTTGGTCTTTTTGAGACAGGGCTTGTTATGCAGTTCAGGCTGGCCTTGAGCTCACTTTGTAGCCTAGGCTGATCCTCCTGCCTCAGCCTCCTGAATGCTGGGATTACAGGTGTGCACCACCACACCTGGCTAGAAGGTGTTATTTTGAGAATGGTGCTCATTTACCTTTCTTTGGGCTTTAGTTGAATAAAAAGTCATGTTGATAGTTCACAAGCTGTGAAGTTTCTGATCTTTGAAGTGGTGGTGAGCTGAGATCTCTCCATCCCCACTGAACTGAAATGTACTCAAGGTGCGGCGTTGTGAGTACTTCGGCTCGTGCTGTAAGTTAGGAGTCTAACTCTCGTGACTTTATGGGTTAGAGAAGCTTCTCTTCATTCAGACACTTGGTCTAAGTAAGTCTTACCTGTGGAGAAGTTGAGAAGTCAGTAATCATGCATCAATCTTTAAAAATTGTATTAGCTTTTGTCCTTACTGAGTTATATATGTATATGGGTGTATGTGTGTCTTGTCTCTACATACATATTGCAGATGAGGGTTTGCTCTGCTGTCCATGCTGGCTTTTAGCTTCTAAGTCAAAGCAAAATCCTCTGGTCTTGGATCAATGCGTAGCTGAAATCACATGTATATTTGCCACTGTGCCTGGTCTCTCTCTCTCTCTTTCTTTCTTTCTTTCTTTCTTTCTTTCTTTCTTTCTTTCTTTCTTTCTTTCTTTCTTTCCTTCTTTCTTTCTTTCTTTCTTTTTCTTTCTTCCTTTCCGTTCCTTGCCTTGCCTTGCCTTTCTTTTTTCTTTTCTTTTCTTTTCTTTTCTTTTCTTTCTATCTTTCTTTCTTTCTTTTTTTCTTTTCTTTCCTTCCTTCCTTTTTTTTTATTTTAAAGAGTAAAAGAAGGATAACATAATAATAGGAGGGGCTTACCAAATTACAGACAAAGTGGTAGGAAATTATCAATGGTTATTGTTTTACATATTGTTATCTATAAGATAGTTTCTCAGGAAAACAAATAGACAAATGATAGTGAGTTACAGACAAAAGAGGTAGGAGATTATCAATTGTTGTACTATACTTAGGTATCTTCAAAGTGGCTTCTAAAGAATATAAATAGAACTATACTTGAGTGACCTACTGAATAATCACTCAATAATTCTCAATGGTTGTTGTAGGAAACACATAATAACAAACATGGATCCATTTATGAAATAGGATAGGAACAATACAAACATTAGAGAGTTATGGATAGATCAGTAGGAAAATATCAATGACTGCTGTAATACATGGTGGTATCTTCAAAGTGGATTCTCAGGAAGACAGAGATACACAAGAAGGATCTAACAAGTAGTTACAGCCTAAGGGTTGTCAAAAATCAAGTGAGCCGTCTGGGGCCAAAGCCATTTTTTGTAGCGTTTTCTCTCCAGCCACCCATCGCATTGGGACCCCACAACCAGTTAGTGTCCTCTCCCCAACTGTCAGCACAGGCAGCAGGAATCCTGCTGCAGACTTCTCCGGAGCTCCACCACAGCCTGTACTGTCAGGGGAAGAATGGCTTCCAATGAGTCTCTGCAGGTATTGTGCAAGGTCCTCCTGGTTTACAGCTTCCGAGCAGCTCTCGTGACCCGAGTCCACTGAACCTCTAACTCCGTGGACTTAGTCTGCGTTCTCATGTTCTCTGAGTCCTTGTTCAGCAGCTGCTCCTCCGCTGGCTCTGGACCTTCCCGGTTCTCAATGGCAGGAGCAAGAGTGGCCCGTTGTATGGCATGTATTCCCAGGGGTTGTTCAAAGTTTGAATGATTCACACACATCCGTGGGTGGGCAACTGCAGTCGGTGCATGGTGGGCCAATTGTGTCACTGTTTCTCTGTGTCATAATAGATCTCAGTTGAGTGGCGGCAGCCGGCCTAAGGGCCAGCGCGCAACAGCGCTCACCGCCGATGGCTCCCCATGCGCTGGGGGCCCTCCCTCCGGGAGCTACAAGACAGTAAGCTAGCCAGCTGAAAGACCGGCGCTCCCCACCCGTGGATCCCTGTGCGCTGGAAGCCCTTCTTCCGGGGAACTATGAGGCCGGGAGTGAGCCGCCGGTCCAAAGACCGGCGCTCCCCGCCCCAGGCTCCCCGTGCGCTGGGGGCCCCCCTTCCTTTCTTTTTGGAAACAGGGTCTTGTTATATAGTTCATTTTGAACTCAGTATGTAGCCCAGGCTAGACTCAAACTTACAGTGATCCTTCTGCCTCAGCCTCCCAGAAGCTGGCATTACAGGCATGAGCTTCTCCTTAATTCTTTTACAAAATTTTAGTTATGATGACATACCCATGACCGAAAGTGTACTGTGTCAGTCACTTCAAAGCTCAGCAGTAGGACATTTACAGTTGTGTTCATCCCATCACCGCGGTGTTTCTCTGTTTGCAAAACCAAAACTCCGAACCTGTTAAACAGTAACTCATGGTGGCACACTCCTGTAATCCCAGCTGGTCAGGAGACTGAGGCAGGAGAGTTGCAAATTAGAGGCCACCACGGGCGATTTAGTGAGACCTTCTGTCCAAAAAATAAAAATAAAGCTGGAGTTCAGCACTCCCTGGGTTCAGCCCCAGTACTATAAAACAAAACAGGCCCAAAACAGACCCCAGGAGCTCCACCCTCCCCTCTCCTCCCTCAGCCCCTGCCACCCATCATCCTGCTCTCTGTCTCCGACTTGACTACTCTGGGTGCTTCAGAAAAGTGGGGTCATAAGTACTTGCCTTTCTGTGACTGGCTTGATTCACTCAGCGTAGTGTCTCAGGTTGGCCGCGGTGTCAGCGTGTGTCAGCGTGTCCTTCCTGTTAACAGCTGGATGGGATGTTGTTGTACATACCACACTTGGTGTGCATTCATCCGTTGGACACTTGGGTTGCTCCTCCTTTTGGCTGTGATTCTGCAGTGTATTTGAGCCCACAAACCCTCCTTGAACTCCACTTCATTTCTTTTGGTTGTGTATCTCGCAGAAGAATTGCTGGATCAGATGATCCGTGAACTGCGTAAGCAACGCAGTTCCTGCCTATAGCAAATACATGACAACATGAGCAGGCTTTGGGGAGGGACTGGGTGCTGGGGATCGAACCCAGAGCCTCGTGCGTGCTACCGTGGGAAGTTCCTCTGAGCCGCACCTCCTGCTCTTTAACAGAGTTAAAATCCTCCATTCAGCTGCCATCTGGAGAAAATAATTACCAATATCTTAGTGTCTGTATTACTTCGTAAAGTTTTTTCTAAATATAGTTGCAGTAACTAAAGCCAAAACTATATTATATACTTCTTTTCCCTTACTAGTTAAAATGTATTGTCCTCCTGTTGTAAATGTATGAATAGCTACGTAATATTCAAAGGGATGTACTCAATTTAGTTCATTATTTCCTTATTGTGTATTTAAGTTCTTCCAGTATTTGTGCTATTACAGAATTCTTCAAATGTCCTTGTTACAGATTTTCATTACCGTCTTAGAGAAGATCACATACCAGGTTTCTAGGTTATAGAAAAATGGATATTTAAAGCTCTTACCTTATTGTTTCATTTTAGAAAGATGATGGTAGTTACATATGTCAAAATAAAATGTTCTTTTTTTACATCTTTGCAAATTTTTAAGAGAATATTAACATGTTTAAACTTGTACATCTGTGTTTCTTTCTGAGGAATATTTTTCATATTTGTTAGCCATTTCCAAAAGTATAATTTAATGGATGGCTTTAGAGTATTAGTTTTCTGCTTATCTGGCATAAATTAAACATGAATGACAAGACAGGATTTAGAGAAATGAAGTTCTAGGGGCTGGGGATTTAGCTCAGCAGCACAGCGCCTGTCTGGCAAGTGCGAGGTTGTGAGTTCGATTCCTGGTACCAGGAAAAAAAAAAAGGAGAAACGAAGTTCTGACTTGCATGCTTCTGACGTCGCCTAGCCCGTGTGCGCTTGTTCAGAGCCCCGCGTGTCTCGCTGGCTCACCCCGCAGTGCTGACGGCGCCGCTCCGCAGAGTGCTCTCACTCAGGTCGGGTGCTGTGGTGACGCTGTGGAGGTGACGTGTCGGACTTGCTCTTCCGCAGGTGCAGACGCGGAGTGCCGATGAGCCCATGACGACCTTCGTGGTCTGTAACGAGTGTGGGAATCGATGGAAGGTATGGCCCCTTTTGGCTCTTCATATACTTGTTTGTAGTAAAATAGCCCTCTACCTAGATGTTTAAGTCATATACATGCACTCACACTGTCCAGTATTCTAGAAGCCCCTGATTAACTACTTGTAATAAAGTATGGTGCTAGAAATAGTTAATTTCATGTTACCAACCACCATACATGTTTTGGTGCAGAAGAGAATCTTCAATGCTTAGTTTGCATGACACATTCCTATATATACTATAGTTCATTAAATTGTTTCCACTCTACCCATGGGATTGACTCCAGGGCCTTAGCATTGAGCTACATCCACAGCCCTCTTTTAATTTTTTTTTAAAGAGAATAGAAAAACAAAAATAATACTGAATTTCAAAACAAGATGAGAGGAAATCAGTAATGGTTGTTGAATTACTTACTGTTATCTTCAAAGTAGTTGCTCAGATTACCAGACATAGGCATGCAAAATTGATCAGACAATATCAGCACTGACTGTTCCTTTTAGTGAACTAATAGAAATTAGTAGTACCGTTATCTTAGCTATCTTGTGTGTATAAATATATAAATATATATGTGTATGTATTTTCCCTTCTTTTCTCCTTTCCCTCGTCCCACTTATTCTTTCCTTTTGAGCAGTTTCTTTCCCTTTTCACAATATCTGTTGTGTGTTTTGGATCTTACTTACTCCTTCAGGTTCTTACAGTAGGAAGACAATACGGTGTTTGCACATGCAGGTCTGGTTTATTTCACTCATGGGTGTGGTCCTGAGTTGCACCCATTCACCTATAAAAGTCTAGAGTTTATCTTTATGGCTCAGTAGTACTCTGCTGTATGAAAATACCACATCTTTGTTATCCATTCCCCGGTGGATGGGCATTTGGGTTGTTTCCAAGATCCAGCTATGGCAAACTGCGCTGCTGTGAACTCCCTTCTTAGCTTTTGAGAGAGGGTCCGTTAAGTTGCTGAGCTGCCCAAACGAGACCTGCGCTTGCAGTCTTCTGCCTCCACGTCTCAGAGCCTGGGGTTACAGGCGGGCAGCACAGCCCTGGCTCGTTTCGTCTCTCACACTCCTGAACAGCCTGTGCGTGCTTGTTACTGCTTTATTGGATTTTGATTCTGGAAAATGAATGTTATCTAAATAATTCATTCTTGAGTGATTTGTGAGCTACAAATACAACATTGGGAGAAGGATTGTATATCAATCCCAAGAACATTTTTAAGTCTTTCTTTGGTACTGGGAATGGAACTCAGGACCCTGTGCTTGCTAGGCAGACATTTGTGCCACTGAGCTATATCCCCCGGCCCCTCCAAGACCATTGTTATTAATGTGTAGATTGGAGATGCGAGGAGTGTGGGGTTGGGAGGCTCCCGTGGTAGGAATAAGGCTTTGGAGGCGTACAAGCTGATTTGGACTGCCTTACCATAACTGACCAGCTCCTCACCACCCCTGAACTGTAATCGCCTCAGATATTAAGTGTAAGTAGTGCGTTGCGGGTTGTAACAGGGAGACAGGATACTGTAAAGCACCTGTCAGTGTTCCAGAAGTGCTTATTATTTCTGTCATTGTGAAGTCTGTATACGAGTTTGGTTTTTTTTTAGTTACTCTTAGAGTTTTCAGTTTATTGCTCATTTTATTTTTTTGTTTTGTTTTGGCTTTGGATTTTTTGAGACAGGGTCCCACTTTGTAGTCCAGGCTGGACTTGAACTTACTGTGTAGCCCAGGCTGGCCTCAAACTCCCGACGATCCTCCTGCCTCAGCCACCTGGGTGCTGGGATTATACGCGTGCACCACCATGCCTGGCTTTTATTGCTCATTTTGAATTATTCATATAGTTTAAAACATTTTGTGAGAATTAGAAGTGAGTTGAAGGTAGGTGTAGTATCATGTGCCTGCAGTCCTAGCACTCTGGGAGGCTGAAGCAAAAGGACTGTACATTCAAATCCAATCTGGAAGTTTAAAAATTTAGCAGACCTTGTCTTAAAAATAAAAAGATACATCAAAAGAAATCATCAACAGTGAAAAGACAACCCACAGAGTGGGAAAAATCTAGAACATACAAAGAATTGAAAAATCTCAATTCCCCCAAATTCAAAGGCCCAATCCAAAAGTGGGCATCTGAGATGAATATGTACTTCTCAGATAAAGAAATACAAACAGGAAATAAATATATGGAAAAATGTTCAACATCACTGGTCATTTGAGAGATGCAAGTTCCACAATATCTGTTGTGTGTTTTGGATCTTATTTACTCTTTCAGGTTCTTACAGTAGGAAAGAATTCTAGAAAGAATGGCTGTCATCAAGAAATCAACTGGCTGGGCGTGGTGGCGCACACCCATAATCCCAGCACTCCGGAGGCTGAGGCAGGAGGATCATTACTAGTTCGTCAGCCGGGGCTACAAAGTGAGCTCAAGGCCAGCCTTAACTACCCAGCAAGACCCTGTCTCAAAAAGATGGAAAAAAAAAAAAAAAAAAGTCAACCAATAACAAATGCTGGAAGAGCTGTAGGGAAAAAGGAACCCTGCTTCACTATTGGCAGGTGTGCAAACGGGTGCAACCACTGGGGAAATCAGTGTAGAGATTCCTCAGAAAGCTAGGATTAAAAGTTCCATATGACCCAGCTTTTCCCCTTCTGGGTATCTTCCTTCCCAGAAGAATTAAAAACATCATACCACAGTGATAATATGTGCACCCATGTTTATAGCAGCACAATTAGTAATAGCTAAATCTCAAAAATGACCCAAATGCTCATCAGCTGAGGAATGGATAAAAAAGATGTGGTCTTCTTATACAGTGGAGTACTACTCAGCCATAAAGAAGGATAAACATGAGATTTTTATAGGAAAATGATACTGCTTAAGACCATATACTCATAGGTGAAATAAATCAGATTCACACGTGTAAACATTGTATTGTCTCCCTAGTGTGAGAAAATAAAAGGGTAAATAAGGTCTAAAATGTATAATAGATACTAAAAATGGGGGCAGGTGTGGTGGCGCAGGCCTGTAATCCCAGCACTTGGGGAGGCTGAGGCAGGAGGGTCGTTAGGAGTTCAAGACTGGAAGATCAAAAAAAAAACAAGTGTGAAATGGGAAGAAATTATTTAAAATGAAAAAGGAACTAGGGTAGGGGAAAGGGGAAAAGAAGGAAGGGAAAAGGGAGAAAAAATGCAAGTTAGGTGTACTATTAGTGTCTGTTAGTTCATAGAAAAGAAAGGTTTGTGCTGATACTGATTGGAGAAGTTTTCATGCTCATATCTTTTACTCTGGGTAACTAAAGACAACAATCTGCAATGTATTAACTATTAATATTCTTCCATTTTCTTGTTTATGAAATTTTGTTTTATCTTTTTTCCATAAAGCAAAAATAAAAAGTGCTATGGAAGTGCTGTGTTCTAGCCCTAGTACCCGTAGGGTTAGGGGTGGTTTAAGCCAGACAATTCTCTGCTACAAATATAGTTTGGGACTTTGGTCCTAGATATTATGTAAGGATTAAGTCTAATACGTATTTATTATATAAAAAAACTCAGTTCAGTCACCTTTTTTTTTAACGCAAACTTATCTTGTCCAGCTAGCACTCTTATGTTTGCTTTGCATGCTGGATCATTTTTATTATTATGAGTGTGTTTACTATAGTTTGTTTTGTTTTTTTTTTTTTTGGTTTTTCTCCGGTACCGGGAACCGAACTCACGACCTTGCGCTTGCCAGGCAGGCGCTTTGCCGCTGAGCTAAATCCCCAGCCCCACTATAGTTTGTTTTGAAAAGCAGTTTGTAGCAGAAGTCCTGGCATAATAAGTGACTTTCAAAACATTTTAATGCAGAAAGCTGACTGAAATTAATTTTAAAGGTTAAAATCATTATGAAAAGAGGTACTAGCTGGGCGTGGTGGTGCACACCTGTAATCCCAGCACTCGGGAGGCTGAGGCAGGAGGATCATTGCAAGTTCGAGGCCAGCCTGGGCTACGAAGTGAGTTCAAGACCAGCCTGAACTACATAGCAAGACCCTGCCTCAAAAAGATAAAAAAAAGAAAAAGAAAAGAGGTACTTAATAAAAAGTACTAAAATGTTTTCATGCTATGCTTTAGTTATGCCTTCTAATTTTTAATTTTTATATTTTTGGTGGTAGTTGGGGTTGAACCCTCAGTATTCACACTGAGCTATCTTCTTGGCCCTGTTTTTTAAATTTTGAACAGGGTCTCACTAAGTCACTTTAGGCTTGAACTTGTAGTCCTCCTCCCTCAGTCTCCCAGAGTGCTTGAATTACAGGGGTGTATGCCACCATGCACAACTGCCTGCCTGTTGTCATTGTCTCTGTCTGTCTGTCCATCTGTCTGTCTCTTTTAAGTATTGGGGATGAGTCCGAGTGCAGGGCCTAATGCAGGCCAGGGAAATGCTCTATCGCTGAGCTATGTCCCCAACCCTTTCTAAATTTTCTTTTGCGAGAGTCTCACTGTGTTGCCCGGCAGTGTTTGAGTTTGTGATCTTCCTGCCTCAGCCTTTCAGATAGCTGGGTTCTAGGAGTGTGCCACCATGGCCACTCCTGCGAGGTTGGAAAATCAGGCATTTAAGACACATGGTGACTGTGCATGAAAAACATACTGTGTCTCCTCAGATATGCTTTTTCAGAAACAATGCAAAGTATATGCTAAGTGGGAGATATATATCATTGTTCGTTTTAAGTTCTCATAGAAATATTTCTTCTTTTTTGACAGTTCTGTTGAGTTGGAAGAATTGGATCTGGACCATTAAGAAAATGGATTTTGTAATTAGCTTTAAAACTAGGGCAAGCAATTAGTTTTCCTGCAAGTCAGGGTTTTAAAATGACATACATCCCACAAATTAGTTTTTGGATTTTGATCTAACATCCCTTCCTCAAATGCCTTCTGTAGTTTCACATGAGTAGGAAAACCATACGATAATTGTATGATATCTGTTTCAATACTTTTTTTCATTTTTATAAGTAAGTTGATATTAATCTTTTCTCAATTAAACTTTTGACAGTTTATTTTTATTTTTTTCTTCTTGAAGTGTTCTTAACTTTTTACAGTCTGAAACATACATAGTAGAAATTGTTGTTCTTTGTTAATGAATACATAACCAGAAGTTACTTTCTTCATATTGGCCTGTACCCAGAAATAATAGAGGAAGCAAAAAGGTAAAATAATTTTAGGTTTACAGATATGGTATGTCTTCAAGTAATTCTTGTCCAGCTAATCTAAATTGTACATATTTGAAATAGTATCTAATTTGATTTTATTATTATGTTCACAAACCTGCAATAAGAAGATACCATTTTGCATCTGTAACTAACCCTTGCTCATCACTTCTTGTACGTGTATATTACTTGTTCGTAATAGATTCTACTTTTGGAAATACAGCTTTGTTGAAGTCATTCTGGTTTTATTGTTTATTTACCTATTTGACTTTGTAGTGTATTTCAGTTTTGCAGAAACTAAAATAGTGTAGTAGGCTTTCAGAAATCCTCTCACAGGCAAAGAATAAAAGCTTCTGACGATTTTTTCCCTCACAGGAAGACATCCGGGGAAGAGATTGTTAGTGCACTGGTAGTGTCATTATCGTAAACAGTTCATGCATAGGTTTTGATTTCAAATCTATACTGACCAAGGATTAAGCATAAAAATTGTATGGATCATTAAAGCTGTGGTCTTCTCATACAGAGACTGGTAGAAAGTATTTTTGTTCGGAGTCGTACTTTTTGTCCTTTTCTGTTAGTGTTTTCCACCTGGACATGTGGGCTATACAAGCAGTCTTAGAGCGCAGATCTGAAGTTAAGTTTTACTTCTGTTTAAGAGTATGCCGTTCGTTCTGTTAGTAATAAGAAAGGCGGTTTTCACGGAGTCTGCTGGGTACCGTCGCTGCGGCACATCCTAACGACCGCCAGCGCGGAGCCTCCAGCCGCCCTGCGGGCTGCGGAGGGCCTCTGTGCACGCTGGCGCTCCGCTCTGCCCTGCCAGCTTCCTGACTGGAAGTCGTCTCGTGGTAACAGCGAGGGTGCCCAGGACCAGGGCCGGCCGTGGGTGCCAGCCCCCCTCCGCTTTGTTAGCTCCCGGGTGAACCGTCTGCTTCGTCGTTGCAAAAATAAAGTGCATTTCTGAGAGAATGGGTTTAAGAAGAATGAAGTTAAAATAGTTCGATTTTTAAATTAAGTGATTGATTTTAAAATTTGTAATTCAATAAAATTTTGTTGTTGTTAACTGTGTATCACATTTTGTCATTTTATTTATACGCTGAATTTTGTTCTACCTTTTGTTGAAGAGTTTCCCATTTTCTTCTACCTACCAAGGTGTTTTTAAGTTACAGTTTTGCTGAAGTGCAGCGTGGTCTTCCTAGCACCGAGCGTGCTGTCCTTCCCTGGCCGCGTGGTGGAGCGGCTCTGAGCAGACGTGAGCGCTGCCTCTCGGTGCTCTTGACACGAGGTGTGAGTCTTACTGCTGGGAAGTGCCGCGCCTGGGGAAGGAAGTGCAGTGCAGTACTACCACAAGTCGTATTTTATAGGACGTTCGCTTTCAGGACAGAGGAGCTGCTGAGTGAACAAGCCAGGGGACTAAGCCAGGCCAGGGTGGCGGGAGTGAAGGGCCGCCGTGGCGGAGGGGAGGCGACGCTCGTAGTGGTCTTGTCCACTTGAGTGCTGAACACGGACTTAGGAATCCTGCTCCCGCGTAACAGCGGTTCTGAAATATTCCTGTGTGCCCAAGCGTTTAAACCTCCGCACCTTACAGGTAGACAATGTTTGAAGTATTAAGACAACAAAAGAAGTAACAGTCTGTGCTTTTGAATTTTTATAGTTATTTTTTTTTCAGTGATTGTTCTTAAAGGTCAAAGTATAATTTGTGGATTTGGATTGATTTTTCAAAATGAAGCTGCCATTGGAGAGCTGTGATGTGTGGAGTTTTGGTCAGCAGTTGTTCAACTTCGCTGTGGGAAGCGAGCCATCCAGGAGGCACTGAGTGTGCCCCGGGAAGTGTGGCTGGGGTGCTCATTGGCAGCGGAGGACTGGTGAAAATCTCATCGCAAGAAGTGCAGACAGACGTTTGAAATGTTACCATGCAGGAAGCAGAGCAGTTGCTGAAGACCCCTGGGCAGTAACGGCAGAGTTACGGTGAAGGACCTTGCAGTCAGCACGCGGCGGGGCCAGCTGAAAGCAGGGGGCGTGCGTGGCCGAGAGCTGAGGTTTGGTAGAGAAGGGCCGAGTACATTCCTGTGAGAGCTTCGTTCGCTGCCGTTACGCCGGGTGTCCCCCAGAGCCGCGTGCGGTCACGGGTGGCGCTTTTCCGAGGTGGCTGGGTCTACGGCGTGTGACCCTGGGGTCGAGGGCCCTAGGGTGAAGGGTGTGAGTGCCACCCCCAAGGGCAGGTGTCCTGGAGAGGCGTCAGGGACAGCAGAAGGGTCGCTGGGGCTTCTTGCTTGCTTTCGCTGTCTTCTGCCTGCCGTGAACGGCTGCTCCTCGCCTTGGTCAGCCGGCTGGGGAGTGGAACCTGTAGAGACGGTCAGGTAAACGTGAGCTCCCTGGACTCTGGGCGTCGGCCTTGTATCTCAGCGATGAGAAGCGTGGAACAGCTGCTGTGCCCGCAGCACCTGCAGGGATACCCGCCGCACAGGAGTTGCTCGTGACAGCTTCTCCTGGTCGTGGCTGCGTCCGCGCATCACGGTTCTTGGCTGTACCCGAGTTAGGGTGTGGAGAACGTTCCACGGCCTGGAGACCGAAGATGGGACAACAACCGCAGGTTGGTCTGTTTCTAGACTCCAACTTCGAAGGAAATGTAATGAGCTGCAACCTTGGGAGATGGTCACTTTAGGTGGTTTCTACAAAGTGAAGCCAAAGTATAGTAATTGAAAAAGCACTTTTTTCATGTCCGCCTGTGTGTCCTTGTCCTTGTTTACCTAGATACAGGGCGGGAGAGGAAGGCACAGGGAACAACCGCAGATGGCTCGCTGGTGGGTCTTCTCGGCTGATCATTTTTATGTTTTTCTTAACGGCCATGACTGCACGGAAAAACATTTCCTATGTGATTAATGTGCCGTTCGCCCATGTTCCTGTAAGTGGATGACTGAATTGTCCTAAAGTAAAAATACTTGTGTAATAGTGCCGTCTGCCATGACAGCGCGGAGACGATGGCATAGCTGACGGGTTTCTTGGCACGGGTTCCTAGAACAGCACTTATTCTGCATACTCCTAGGACAGTGTTTATCCAATGGCTAGTGCATTCCATTCATCATCTCGATCCATCAGTCCTGTCTGCTATGGCGGGAGTTCCTTCTCTGGGAGTGGATAGTGGTCCGCGGTGTGTACTGACCACTTTTCCACTGGCTTGTCAGCGCCCGTTTAGCTCATGGTCCTTTCCTGCCTGTTGTGCTAATGCGGCTGTAAACGGGAGCTCCTGTCTACCTTTAGCATCAGAACTCCAGTCACGGAGACACCCCCGGAGTGGGATTAGCGCCGCACGCCCCACCCTGCCCTGCGCAGTGTGAGCCCTGCTGAGGTGACGCTGCGGTGGTGTAAGCTCAGTAGCACCACCCTCCCAGGTGCCATGGGGATGCCACGCTCCAGGCTGGCTCTCACAGTGCGTAAGTTTACAGGGAAACACGGATAATAACCAAAAAAATGGAACCAGAACGGGGAAATCAACAGTTTTGCACGGGAAGCTTTGGGAGATGTTTACAGTCGTCTGCCTGAAGTTGCGACAAAATTGAAAAGGCAGGGCAGTGTGAAAGCTGCCACGCTGTTCTTGGTCGGGAGAAGTAATTGCAGTTATTGCAGCACTTGTGCAAAATCCGGAGCTTGTCAGTAAGTCTCATAAAGAAAATGCTTGGCATGGCCGGGTGTGGTGGCACACGCCTGTAATCCCAGCACTTGGGAGGCTGAGGCAGGAGGATTGTTGCGAGTTTGAGACCAGCCTGGGCTACAAAGTGAGCTCAAGGCCAGCCTGAGGTGCATATCGAGACCCTGTCTCAAAAAGACAAAAAAAAAAAAATATGCTTGGCATGGAGTGAGTGACCCTTCAGAGCTGGGCGAGCTCGTGAGTACCGAGCGCAGCCTTTCATTTCTCTGTTCGGTGTTTTGCAGTTTTCAGTGTGTCTTTCACCTCCTTGATTATCCTAAGAATGTTTTATGCTACTATAAGTCAGTTGCTTTATTTTTCAGATAACCATGTTAATACGTAGAAATTCTGTGTGTTGAATTTGTAGCTTGCAACATTATTGAATTTCACGAAGATCTCATTTGCAGGTAGGACGTGCATGCCTTTAATTTCCTCCCTTGCTCGGTGTCTGGCTGTGATTCCCTAGTGCTGCGACGAACAGAGAACGGCTTCCATGCCCTGGCTTTATCCCGGCCTTGGAGGAGAGAGGTTTTTATTTGATTGTGTTGAGTATGATGTTGAGTGTGGGACCTCACACGTAACTATTATTTTGAGGTAAATTCCTAACTTGCTGAGCTGCTTTTGTGAAATCGTGTTGAATTTTGTCAAGTGCCCGATTTTGCACCCATTGGTTGTTCAAGAGTATGTTAGTTTCCACATATTTGTGAGTTTTTCAGTTTTTCTTTTATATTGTAGATTGAATCCATTGTGGTTGGAAAAGATTCCTGATATGATTTCTATCTTATATTTGTTAAGACTTGTTTTATGACATTACACGAGATCTGTCTTGGAGAATGTTCTGTGTGTATTTGAAAATATGTATTGTGTTGTGTGGAAAGTTCTATATATGTCTATAAATGTTCTACATATCTGTAGTCTGTTTTAGAGTCTGAAGTTTATCAGTTTTTTCATGGCATGAAAACTGAAAATATTTTATAATAAAATCTATTAGTATTTTATGGTTTCTGAATTTTGTCTTGTTTAGGAAAACGTTTTCATTGGAAGTTATAAAAATATTTCCTGTATTTTTCCAGTATTCTTATGTATTCTTACTTTAAAACATTCAGATCGTTAAACCATTTGGAATTCGTATACATTTATCCAAATGGAGAGAGGGCCATCCCAACGAAATCACCCTGTGAAATTGTACTGAAAAGCGGAAGTCTTGAACTGCATTCATAGGATCATCTGAGATTCATGTGGGGTTTAGCTGCTGAATGGATCCGTAGTAGTGGTGAACTCCGTAGTCACATAGGCGATGATGGCATCTTTCTGAGTAGTTATATGTTGGAAACAATTTGGCATGGAAGTTTTCCTTTGTAGCAAATCTGTAATCCTCACATTTATTGATTATGGCTGTAAGCTGACTATGAAAGAGAAAACGAGTAAAACAGAGTTTACAGTGCGGTGGAAACAATACCCTGCATATGTAAGCAGAACGTGTGACAGCTGAGGTGATGGACGTGCTCAGCGCATCCCCGGAACCCAGTACACATGTTCCGTGTGACGGAGGGCCTCCACGTGAGGCTGTCAGGGTGCTTCGTGGGGTAGATCACAGGCTGTTCCTGAAGGGCCGGTAAGAGTTACCGGGACAAGGGTGGCGATTCAGAGTGAGCGTAGGAGGCAGCAGCCGGTGGGGCCCGAGCTCCCGTGTGCAGCTGAGAGCCGAGCGCTGTGCGTCCCTTTTCTGCAAGCGCCGGGTCTGCCGTGGAAGCGGGGCTGGCGAGCGCGCGGCCCAGCAGCTGAGAGGTCATGGCTCGTATCCAGGCGGTCAGCAAGTACCGAGAGGTTTTGGGTGGCGGGTTAGCCGTAGGTAGCGCTGCCGTGAGGGGGCCACCGGATGACGCGAAGGGTGGGGTGCGCGGCTGACGGCGCGGGAGCGAGGGCTCCTTGGCCGTGGTGCAGGGAAGGTTCGGCAGGAGTCGGAAGAGGGAAGCGAGGGACCGGGGAGATGTTTAATAACTGGAAACGGGGGAAGGGGGGCGCTGACACCAGGCCTGGGCGTGGCTGGGTGGCTCGCTGCCCGCACTGCAAGCGAGGCCAGGCTGCGGGGTGGGCGGCCCCGGGTGAGGGCTCCAGGGCGGAAGGCTGGCGTCCGCTCATGGGAGGGGTGCGCCCGCGCAGCGCCAGCGGGCAGCTGAGCCCCGGTTCAGGAGGGGCCGGGACCAGGTCCCTACTGGAGGTCTTCAGTACACTTGGGTATTTCCCGAGGAGGGATACGAGAACCAACAGCCCATCGCTCAGAAGAGGGCCCAGGCCCAAGCCCTAGGGCCGCCACATTTAGTGAATGACTAACGATAGCGGTAGCTTGCGGTACTTTATCTTACATGCACTAGGCTTGTTTGGGTTTCTTGAGACAGGGCTTCGTCACGGAGTTCGGCTCAGGCTGACCTTGAACTCACGCTACAGCCGAGGCTGGCCTTCAACCTGCTGCGATCCTCCTGCCTCAGCCTCGGATACCACCGTGCCTGGCTGCATGGAGGAGTTTAACCCTCAGAGTAAGGTTAAGCACAGGTAGCATTTACCATCCCTGTCTTTACACACGAGGAAGTCCCCCCTGCCCCGTGTCAGTGCGGCGTCTGAACCCCCGGCTGCACAGCCCGAGGCCTCAGCCGTTCTGCTCCGTTCCCTGGGGAGCGGTAGAGGAGAACGTGGAGAACTGGCAGGGGCTCACAAGGCCCGGAAGCCGGCTTGCAAGGAGGGCGCTGTCGGCGCGGGCAGCGCGGCCCTCCTCTGAGAAGAGGCGGGGAGCAGTGTGTTCAGGCCTCCGGGCGCCACGGAGGCCTCCGCAGAGCAGCTGGTGCCTCACCCTGGCTTCGGCGGAAACGAGGAGGTGAAAATCGCAGGCAGCAGTGTGGGCCTGGGGAAAGGCTGGCGGGAGGGGAGAACCAGCAGCCGCGATGGGAGCAGCTCGTTACCTGGGGCGTGCAGCGCGCTTGCAGTGCGGGTGTGCGTGCGTGCGTGTGTGCGTGTGTGCAGCACGCTTGCAGTGAGGATGTGTGCGCGTGTGTGTGTGCGGCGTGCTTGCAGTGCGGATGTGCGCGCGTGTGTGTGCAGCGTGCTTGCAGTGTGTGTGTGTGTGCGTGTGTGTGTGCATGTATGCGGCGTGCTTGCAGTGCGCATGTGCGCGCATGTGTGTGCGGCGTGCTTGCAGTGCGTGTGTGTGCGCGCATGTGTGTGCGGCATGCTTGCAGTGCGTGTGGTATGTGCATACATGTGTGCATGTGTGCAGCGTGCTTGCAGTGCGTGTGTGTGCGCGCATGTGTGTGCGGCTTGCTTACAGTGCGGGTGTGTGCGCGGGTGTGTGCAGCGCGCTTGCAGTGTGGCGTGCCTGTGCGTAGCGTGCTTGCAGTGCGCTCCGCCCTCCGCCCTCCGCACGCGGCACCGCCGCAGGCGCTCTCATGCGTGTGTGTGTCCTGCCTGGAGTCTCGGCCATCCGCCCGCCAGCCGGCCGCCCTCCTGTGGTCGCCTCCGACGTCCTCACGCCCGCATCGGCATGCGGCGGACGCACCGGGCTCGCTGCGGTTCGGACACCCGTGCGCTCTGTGCGCTCTCGCTCGGGCGCCCCGCCGAGGTTGTCCCGCAGCGATGCACACCCAGAGCTCACCTCCTTCCTTCCTCTATGCGCTACGCTGTATCGTAACTCGTCGTCCCCTTACAGTGCGAACTACCGGAGGACAGCGTTCGCGTCTGCGGTACAAAAACATTAGCCAGTGGAATCAAAAGCCCGTGCAAAAGGCTGAAACCCTGAGCAGAAAGAAGGACCCAGCTGGCCGGGAAGGGACGCAAGGAGGGGGAGTAGATGCCGAGCTTCGCGTGTGTAAGGGCACACGGGAGGTGCGGGGAGAGGCTCGCCGTTTCCGTGGTAAAGCACACGGTTTACCAAGGGCGAGGGCGCAGGGCATAGGTTTGACGCTGGAGTTTAGTAGCAGTGAGGATGGGGTCGGGCCAGGTACGGGGGACGATCAAGGGGACAGCGGGCATGATGGCACACAGCTGCAATCCCAGCTACACAGGAGGCTGAGGCAGGAGGGTCCCAAGTTTCAGCCCAGTCTGCGTAGTAACAGCTCAAAATAAAAAATAAAGAAGTGTCAGGGATGTAGCTCAGTGCACCGAGGGGAGGGAGGAAAGCCGCGCTGTCCCGTAGGAGGGATGAAACGTGCGGGGCGCCTCTTTCGATTAGCGTCTAACCTACTGCGGACGCCAGCCCAGGTTTTGTGTCTTTCCCACTGACTGCATAGGAGGTGTCCTCAGGGCGCTTTAGAGCTACAAGCCATTTTTACCTATGCGCTCTGAAGTTGTTCCATTCGCCTGTGGGAAGGGTATTGGGCTCTAAAAGCAAACACTGGTCGGGGAGCTGAGATACGCTGCATGTACCCCTGCTTAATGTTACCTTTCTCAAATACTTACATATGAAAAAATAAAAATGGAGATAAAATTCTTGTGCTTTATTTTTCTAGAGTGAAAATGCCCATATTTCTTTCCATCATAAAAATGGAAATATGCTTATTTGAAAGTTTGCTGTGAACACGACCAAGTTGTGAACCTTAAAAATGCGCTCTTTAGGTCGACAAATTCTGATCAGAAAATAACAGTTAACTTTTCCACGGAAGGATGTCCTGAGTCCTGCTTCCCTTGGCAAACACTCGAGACCGACCTACTTCAGAGCACACTGCTTCACATCAGCCAGGTAGAGGCGCTCATGCACACCTGTGTCTACGGACTCACGCTAGGATAGAAAGCGGATTAACGGGGCCGGGGATATAGCTCAGCGGCACAAGCGCCTTCCTGGCAAGCGCAAGGTCCTGAGTTCGATTCCCGGTACCAAAAAAAAAAAAAAAAAAGAAAAAAGAAAGAAAGGAAAGAAAAGTGGATTACTGTCTGTACAAGTGACCACATCCTTATAAAGGTGAACTTGGGTCCTGTCATGGCAATGATAAGGGAAGTATTCAGGCCCGGTCTGATGGAGTGAGCAGGTAGCTGAGAAGCGCTTGAATCTCTTCTTTCGGGGATAATCAGCCGCTGAACTCATGCAAAACAAAGCGGGCCCTCTTGCTCCTGTGCATGGACGTCATGCTCCGGGCAGCTGGGGGCCTCCAGTGCACCCCCTGCCGTTGGGAACGCGCTACTGCTCCTGTAAATGCAAATACACTCTCAAACAGCCGCATCGGTTCCCCTCAGAAGTACCGCTAACCGGGGCTGCGATTTACAACGTGAACGTATGGCCTCTTGTTGGACGCAGGTCGCACTTGTTATTCCAACAGCGCGAGCGTTACTCCAGCGGAAGGCATTACTACCTCTAAATTCCCTGCGCTAGATGTAGTCCAGGTAGTTCTTCCATTGTTTCCTCAATAATAAATACATTGGAAAACTCCTACGCTTCAGCTGACTTCTCAGCTGACTTCTCAGCTAGGGACTGCAGCAAGTCCTTATAGACGGCGGAGTTCATGAAGCGGGGGTACGAGTCTCTGAGCATGAGGGTGTAGATCTGCAGCTGGGCGTCGTCGAATATGTGCGCGGACGGCTGGCCCATGTTGCTGTTGATGATTTCCCGCACTCGGGAGTCCAGGCTGACCTGCCGGCGGAGCACAGAGAGCTGCAGCAGACGCGTCTCCCTCTGAACCCGCCCCCACCGCCCGGAGCTTATTTTGGTTTCTGAAAACCCCAAACCTAGCAAGTTCATCCAAAAATCCAAACTGCCAGGAAAGGAACCAAAAGCATAATGAACGGAGGCTCTGGGGCTTCCGAGCTAGGCGCGTCCCCTGGGCCAGGGCCTGTGACGCCGCCAGGATTCAGGCAGTACGTCTAGGAAGGGCCGGACCTTGTGCTCCCGACACATCTCACACGTTCTAAGTAATGGTGACAGGAGCACGCACGTTTTGGTGCTTTCAAAAGAGCTTGCGCACACATCCGTGCCAGGAAGAGAAGGGCTAAAACCTGGGTGCCACCGGCGTCTCCCCAGCTGGAAAACCACTGCAGAGCTCCGGAAACGAGCACCGGCCACCCAGAGGGTTGGGCACGCGTGTGGACCACGTGCTGCACCCCCAGGGCCCAAGCACCGGACATGCCTGTGCTGAAATCCCATCTGGCCTATCCGTATCGCATTAGATATGAATTCCGAGCGAGCCCATCTCGTAAAAGGAGATGATGCCGGTGCTGGTTCCAGGTTTTGCTGAGGATTTCATAAAGATGTACTTAGAGCGCCTGTGATGCACTTCGTGCCCTGGACGCCTCAGTGTTTTCGCTCTGATGCTCTGCGTACCCCAAAATAGACTGTCTCATTAAAGAGGGAACCACTGGGCTCCGACTTCACCCGTGGGACACCAGACAAGAACCCAAACCGAAGCTGTAACAGCAGACTGCGCACCCCTCTTCTGAGTACGGACCTGTCACCCCGTCCCGCATTCGCTGGCCACGATCGCTCCAACGCCACGCACGGCATGTGCTGTTAATATAAAACTAGGAGTACGATCAGTTGGCACTGCACGTGGTACTAACGCCAAGCTAGAAAGGCAGCTAGCTAAGCCGTTCGTTTAAGTTTTGACATCAGTGAGCTCTCTCTCCAGCCGCACGAATCCATCAGCCTCTGAGGGTCCCCGTTGCCTACGCACGGGTGGTCTCCGAGCCCAGCAGCTGAAAACGGGCCGGCCGCGTCCCCAGACCCCGCGCAGGCTGCGGAGGAACGCAGCTCGGCCGCGCCCCGCTGGAGGCCTGCTCGCCCCTCTTCCCGCCAGCTCTGCGTCAGTCCCAGGGTCCCTTCATTACTCGGGTCTGCGGCCCTGCCCCTCCCGCTGTGACCCCTGTGGGGCCCGCTCGCTGCTGGCCGCTGGGTTGGGCAGCAGCCTCCAGTCGGGTCTCCCAGAGCCAGCCCGCGCCTCTCCGTCGCCCAGCCAGGGCTCTTTCTCGCGTGCAAACCGCGTTCGAGCGGCCCAGGTGCTCACACGGGATGGCTGGTGCTCACAGGACCAGGCCCGAGGCGTACCAGCTCCACGGTTAATCTGCCGCAGGCCCTGGCGATCCGCTTCCCCCAATCCCCAGCTCCGGTCACTGCTCTGCTCAAAGCTGTCCCGAGCCACTTGAGAGGGGGGAAGGAAGGAACTAGAGCTGTCTTCTTCCCGCGCCCACTTTTTTTGTCTTTTTGAGACAGGGTCTCACCATGCAGTTCAGGCTGGCCTGGAGCTCACTTTGTAGCCCAGGCTGGCCTCGAACTCGCAAGGATCCTCCTGCCTCAGCCTCCTGAGTGCTGGGATTACAGGAGTGCGCCCCACGCCGGACGTTACCCCCTTTCCTGCGCCCTGCCTGCCTACTCCGCTCCCCGATGGGTGAAGGCCTCGCCTCCAGCCGTCCTCACCGGGCGGCCCTCTGGGGACAGTCAAGGCGACCCGGACGCCGTGGGCGCGCGGAGTGTGTTCCGCACCTTGGAGCACGAGCGCGCACACACACGGAGGGCTCGCGGGGAGAAGGCCTCGGGGCACTCACCTCTCTCGGGGAGAGAATGGAGATGTAGTCCTCGTATATGACCCTCGCTCTCTCCTCCGCGGCGCGCGGGCTCGCCTCCTTCTTCAGCTCCTCGCAGGCCATCCAGAACAGCATGTTCTCCTCGCTGAACTCCGTGCGCAGGAACGCCCGGAACGCGTTCCTGCCGGCCGGCGCCGCCATCACGTTGTCGAAGGACTGCGCCCAGGCGCTGACCTCCTCCAGGGTCGGGGCCGGGCTGGGCGCCGGGGGAAGGAGGCAGAGGGGTCGTTACTGCAGCTCGGCGGAATCTGGGCCCCAAAGCACGGCCTCTCCCTCCGGCAACAGAAGAACTGGGTGGATTTGTCCCCGCCAGGCAAGGGCAGACCTGCTGTTCTTTCCTTAAGCCTTGGCAGAAGGCTTCTATCAAACAAACTGTTCGGCACCTTTTGTGGCCAAAATGTGCAGACTAAGTGCTAGAATAACTACTCGGAGTTCCTCCATCCAGACAGATCGGGCAATGTTTGTTATTTTTTTATTTTTTGTCTTTTTGAGACAGGGTCTCGCTGTGCAGTGCAGGCTGGCCTTGAGCTCACTTTGTAGCCCACACTGGCCTCGAACTCCTAATGATCCTCCTGCCTCAGCCTCTGGAGTGCTGGGATTACAGGTGTGTGCCACCACGCCTGGCTGCATTTTGATTTCTAAGGAAATTTTAATTTCTATTTTCATTTCTAATTGTATTTCGTTGAGCTTTCCTTGTATTTTTTGGACCTAGCAGAAGATAATATATTTCGTAAGTCTTTTTAGAGAATCAGCCTTTGCCTTGTCTTCACTGTGTCTGTCTGTCTGTTACTTTGTTTCTGTGCTTACAGATTAGCATCCTCCTTCTCCTAGTTTCTTTATGCTTATTAAGGGGAACTCAACTCAGTAATGATTAGTCTGGGTGCCTTTTCTTACAAACATTTAGGGTTATGTATTTTTCTCTACTTACTGAATTCCTTACATCCTCAGGTTGATACATAGCACTTTCGTGTACATCAATTATAAATTTTTTTTTTTTTTTTGAGACAGGGTCTCACTATATAGCCCAGGCTGGCCTCAAACTCATGGTGATCCTCCTGCCTCAGCCTCCCACCACTCCCACATAAGGTTTTTTTTTAAACCTTATGATTTGCTCTTTGAGGAGCTACATGGAAGTCATTTTAAAAATATTAAACATGAGAATTTTTAGATTAGAATTTTTAAGAAATTGTTTGATTTTTTTTTCTGGCTTTGATTTTAATTGTATTGGGTCAGAGGGAACAGTCTGTTTAACAATGATCCTAAAAATATATTAAGATACTTTATGAGGTAATGCTTGGTCAGTTACTATAAATATTTTATGTATGCTTGAGAAAAATAGGTCTTTTGAAATGATTGGATGCAGGTTTCCACATAACTTGCCTATTTTTTTATTTGTTTTTTTGAGATAGGTCTTGCTATATAGCCCAGGATTGTTTTGAACTCTCAATGATTTTCCTGCCTCAGCCTCCCCAGTGCTGGGATTACAGGCATGCAGCACTAGGCCTGGTTTAAAATTTCTGTCTCTTAGGGATATCTATAACTGAGAGCAGAATGCGGAAAGTTTTGTTATGGTAGCAGATTTGAAAATTCCTTGCTTTAGTGATTTTTGTTTTTTACATTTTGGGACCATTTTAATTAGTTATATGTAAGTTGTTATAACTTACTAGTGAACTAAACCCTTTAATACTTTAGTAGTGATTCTATCTATAAAGTGTTTTTAAATTTTTGTTTTTGAGAAAAAGTAAATTTTTGCTTTTTGAAACTGGGTCTCACTATGTAGCTCAGGCTGGCCTTGAATCCCAGGGATCTACTTTCAAAGTTTTGTAAAGTTTTTGTTTGATATTAGTATTGGGAGGCAGTATAGAACAGTGGATAGACACAAACCCTGGGTGGACTAAATTTAGAATTTGCAGCCACCATTTCTGGAAGGTTGCCACTTACTGACGTGACACCGTCCTGCAAACCAGGAAAAGGTGTCTTTTTTCTAGGCAGGACACTTTTTTTGTTGTCTTTTTTAGACAGGGTCTTGCTATGCAGTTCAGGCTGACCTTGAGCTCAGTTTGTAACCCAGGCTGGGCTTGAACTCACAGCAGTCCTCCTGCCTCAGCCTCCCGAGTGCTGGGATTACAGGTGTGCGCTAGCATACCCGGCCTCTGTGTTTCTTTTAGCTTCCCAGTATCACAGACGATTATTTGATACCAGCAGTAGTTGTTTAGATCTGCTTATACTGGTGTTAACGTATTTGCTCAGCATTTTGTCTTACAATTCAGACTTTCCATTTGGGGTCACTTTCTTCCTGGAAATTACCCTTCAGTTCTTCACACATCTGCTGGTGGTAACATCTCTGTTTCTGTTTTATCTGCGAAGGTCCTAGTTCCTCCCTTACTCCTGGAACACAGTTGGGCTGGATACACAATTCTAGGTGGGCGTTGTTTCTGCATAGCATTTGCCGATGATTGTGTTTCTGGTGCCCAGAATTTCAGCTGACAACTCTGCTCCGTCTTATATACTTCTAGGCAACCTGTCTTCTCTTCGTAGCTGCTTTTAAGTCTCCTCTTTGTTTTTTTTTATTCTACAGTTTCAGTACAATTAGGTCTAGGTGTAGGGAACATTCACCTTACCTGATATACACTGTGGGACACACACACACACACACACACACATTTCTGAGAATTCGTGTCTTTCATCCGATCTGGAAAATCTTAACTATTATTTCCTGCTTTTCCGCCTTTAATCGGGAACTTTGACTAGATGTTATGTTAATTCTTGTCACTTTAGCCTTCAGTTTTCTGATTTGATTTTTATATTTCAGTCTCCTTTGTCACGTGGTCTTTTTGGATACCTTGAAGTTCACAAGCTAGTTCTTTAGCTGTATCTAATCTTCGTACCTTTTCTTTCTTTCCTTTTTTGTTTCTTTCTTTTTTTTTTTTTTTTGCAATGCTGAGGATTGAACCTGGGGCCTCACATGTGCTAGGCAAGTGCTCTAACACTGAGCTACATCCCAGACCTTTCACTACTGTATTTACTTTATCTGTATTTTGAGATAGGCTCTTGCTAAGTTGTCCACACTGGCCTTGAACTTGGGAACCTGTGATACCCCTGCCTCAGGCTCCTGAGTGGCTGATAACAGGCAGGCACACGACACCAGCAGCTGTATCTAATCTTCTATCCTAGTGATCCATTTACAGATTCCAACAGTAATTTTTCATTTTTAAAAGCTCCTCTCATCCTGAGATGCTCATACCACACACCGCTCATCTGGGGAAAGACCCAAATTCAAAACTCAAGGTACGGCTCTTACCGAGTGTGCACTGCTTTGCCACCCTCTTGAAGCTGAAAACTCATAAAGGTGAGCTATAAATCGGGAGCGTTTGGTCCTTACGCACTGGGGAAAAAGCAACAACCCTGCTTTCGTGTGCTTAGCAGTCACAGCTCAGGGCTCAGCTTGCTCTTGGTTTCGTTTTTAAAGTACTTTATCATATTCTTTTACAAAGCATGTTAGGTTTATTTATTTATTTTTTATTTTTTTGGTTTTTTTTTTTTTCCAGTACCGGGAATCGAACTCACGACCTTGCGCTTGCCAGGCAGGCGCTGTGCCGCTGAGCTAAATCCCCAGCCCGCATTTTAGGTTTAGGCAAGAGCTGTAATTCTGTATTTGCAAAGGCTTTGGCTCCTTTATCTGGCGTCATAAGGAGAAAACTCTCCGTTTGGTTTTGGGGGGTACAGGTTGTACATCAAAAAAGGGAGATCAAGAAGTGCATATGCAGACAACTCATCCTAGTTACCTGAAAATTACAGAAAAACACTCTCCCGTGTACAGGGGCTCAAAATATACATTCCTTATCTGAGCTACACCACCCTAGCAAAAATAAATTTTTTATTATAATGTTTTTATATTGTTTGGTTTTGGTTTAATCATGTCAGATGAATTCATCATGAAAAATTATTATGTATAAAGAAATGTATCATAACTCGAAGTTATTTTTTAAACTATGATTTTAAATAAAATAAAAAAATTTATCTATGTATGAATCCTGGGTTATTGTTTTTTGTTGTTTTTTCAGTGCTGGGATTGAACTCAGGGTCTGGTGCGTGGTAGGCAAACATTGCGCTGCTGAACTATACTCCCACCTATTTTCATTTTAATTTTTTGAGACAAAGTTCTGCTAAACTGCCCAGCTGGCCTCAAACTTGCAGCCTTCCTGCCTCAGCCTCCTGAGTAGCTGGGATTACAGGCATGCGCCACTTTGCCCGGCTAATCCTCGATTATTTTCACAAAGTTCAATTATATTAGAGAAGTTTAAAGTATGGTAAATTATGTTCCTTAAATATGTGAATTCAGTGCTGGCCATGTTGGCACATGCCTGTAATCCCAGCACTTGGGAGGCTGAGGCAGGATGATTGCTGTGAGTTCAAGGCCAGCCTGGGCCACATAATGAGCTCAAGGCAAAGTGAGATCCTGTCTCAAAACAAAAATTTGAAGGGCTGCAGATGTACTTCAGTGGCACAAGCACCTGCCTGGGAAGCACAAGGTCCTTAGCTTGATTCTCAGCACAAAAGAAAAAAAATTATAAAAATATGTGAATTCACAAGATATCTTTTCCTCCTATCACTTAAGAAACACACATTAAAGAATGATTTTGAAAAAGTTAAAGGTAATGACAGTAGGATGTTTTTAAGAAGAAAGGTCCCACCCTGTGTTCCATACTAGTAAAGCAACTAAAACAAAAGAAAGGGTGGTTCCTACGCAAAGGAAAAAACAAGGAAACCATTAGGAGGAATTGCAGGACCCAGCCACGGAATTGGCTGAGAGATTAAACACACCAGAAATGATCAAAATAACTGACGGAGACTCAGGTGGGCCAAAATCTGACGGAATGCTATTTTTACCAGAAAATTGAAAATGCGTAGACGGGCGAGACGTCCGGGAGACGCAGTACGTACAACATACCCCAAGCAGCGCCGGAAGCGGACGGCATCAGATCTGCAGGCTCGCTCGGCGGCAATTTTTGTGAGCAAGCGAAGGGCGGGGCCCACAGAGCGCCTGCCGCCCCGGCTCTGCTCCGCCGGCCCCAGCTTAGTGAGAACTCCCAACAGTCCTCGACTGGCTTAGCTACAGCTCACCATCATCATCCCCACGCTGCAGGAGAAAACTGAGGTGGAACGCAGCCCCCAAGTCTAGCGCCCAAGGTTGTATGGGTAGGACCATCAGCGCCAGGACCAGGTGCAGGCATTCCGATTCCGATGTGACCTTCCCGGAAAGTGATGCATGCGGATCGATAAGTCGCCTACTTTTATCTGAGATAGGGTCTCACTATGTAGTCTAGGCTGGCCTTGAACTCACTATGTAGCCCAGATTGATCTCGAACTGGAAGCAATCCTCCTGCCTCAGCCTCCCAAGTGTTGGAATGGATAGGCGAGGGCCTCCACACCCAGCCTTACCTACCGTTTTTAATAGACTCATACACAGTGGAAGATTTTAACATGCCTCCTAGACTTTGAAAGAGCTGGTCAGGGATAAACAAGAAAAATTTTTAAGAAATTTTGGACCATTAGCTTTTTTCCTCTCAAAAATAAACAATTTAGGCCAGATGTCATGGCACATGTGCTAATCCCAGTACTCTGAGACTGAGGCAGGAGGATCTCAAATTCAAGTCCAGCCTGGGCAAGTTAGCACAATCCCATCTCAATGTAAAAAATGAGCTATTTATGTAGTTCAGTATGCTTTATTTTTATTTTTATTTTTTATTTTTTGCCTTTTTTGAGACAAGGTGTCACTATGCAGTTCAGGCTGGCCTTGAGCTCACTTTGTAGCCCAGGCTGGTCTTGAACTTGCAACGATCCTCCTGCCTCAGCCTCCCGCGTGCTGGGATTACAGGCGTGCGCCACCACGTCCAGCCTTGTAGTTTAGTTTGAAGGCCCTGGGTTAAATCTCCAGTATAAAAAAAGAGGTAATTTAATCTAAAATTTCTTTGATTAGTGCTTTTAGGATATTTGTCTAATGTCCACAATTATACAGGCATAACATCAAGAATAAGAACAATTAAAGTACAGTAAATTAACTGATAATACAGGAAGAAATATAAAGTTTGGCATTAAAGTAGTTCATGTGTTCTTTCAAAACATTGAAAAACAATACTTTAGCCATTCAGTATAAATTAATAATTCAGAAAAAACCAAACTGCCTAAATGCTGCTGAAAACTATGTTGTTTCATTGTAGTCTTATTTTTAAAAGTCTCTAAGAATAAAATTGTATTATTGTGGTTTCTCAAGATGGATCAATTTTTTTTTGTTGTTTTATTTTTGTTTTTGTTTTTGAGACAGGGTCTTGCTATGTAGCGCAGGCTGGCCTCGAACTCACAGCGACAAAAGGGATCAATTTATATCTGTGGTTAGCAGGGGAATTAGATTAATGGACTTTATTTCCCCTCCTCCCTCCTTCCCTCCCTCCCTTGCAGCACTGGGGCTTGAACCAGTATTAATATTATTATTATCCGGATTAAGCTGCTTTCCCAGCCCGTTTTTACTCGTTAGAGACAGGCTCTCGCCGAGACACGGGCTGCCCAGGCTGGGCTCAGCCCTGCTGCTGCGGGCGGGAGGTGCGTGCCGTTCGCGCAGTCTGGAATCGGCGCCTCTCAACCCCGTTAACACAGTGAATTCAAAGGGGCCCTGCCGAGGGAAAGTTATGCCACGCTGAGATTCGATGCTGTTAAACTGTAGAAAACTTGTCTAAGTTCAGCTGAAACATAAAACGCAGCAAGAGAAAGGTCCGTACTTCTGTTAGCCAATCAACCAGAACCCCACGCCTCACCTTTCTTCGCAGGCCGGGAAGTTTGTTCTGAGTTCGCGCGTGGCCCTCGTGGGCCTGTGTTCTTCTTGGTTTCTTACGGTGAGGCTGTAGGAGGAAGACAAGGTCCCTTGCATCAGGGAAAGTCTTTCTTAACACACAAAGAGAAGTTAAAGTCAAGTAAACTTTTTTAAAAAAAGAACATGATTCTAACTGCTTTTCTTGGAAAGAAGAACACATGTCATGGCACATGTGTTAATCCCAGTACTCTGAGACTGGGATTAACTGACCTACATAAACATGTTTGGTTTTCTAAGAAAACCGAAATTTGACAATAAGGTATCTGTGTTAGTTTTCGGTCACTGTAAGAAAATACACGAGTGTATATTCCGTTATAAGAAAGGAGGGCCATTCTGGCTTATAGTTTTGGACGTCCGGTCTGATTGGCCAGCCCGTGGTGTTGGCCCTGGGGGCAGGCAGCCTATCACGGGAGGGGTGAACGGCCCAGCAAAACTGCTCCTGCCGAAGAGAAACGGGGGTGAGGGAGAGGAGAAAAGAAAGGGAAAAATATATACGATAGTTGAGATAGTTCTATTGCCAATTTCTCTTAGTTCATTGAAAAGAAACGTTTGTGCTACTGTTGCTTGGACAATTAAATGCCTCTCTTGTACTCTGAGTAGCTAATTTAAAAATGAAGTATGCAATGCACTAACCAGTTACCCTCCTATTACCTTGTTTTGAAATTTTGTGGGTTTTTATCTTTAAAATAAAATTTAAAAATAAAAACTGGAAAAAACAAACAAAAGCCAAAAAACCTTGCTGTTACCACTAGCAAAGGAGAGGAAGGAGCTGTCACCCACCATCCCCTCTGAGGGCCACCCCCACGGGGCGCTACCTCTCCCGCTTCTACCGTCTCCCTATAGCGCCACCCTAAGGCCAAGCATTAAACACACAAGTCTTTTGGCAACATTCAAAATCCAAACTATAGCAGTATTAGAAAAATAAATTTATTTGTAACACTGCATCCTACCGTAACTGAGGAAAGGTTATAAATTATTGTGGTTGCCTGACGTGGGGCCACACACTTGGGAGGCTGTGGCAGTAAAATCACCATGAGTTTGAGGCCAGCCTGGTCTGTGAGTTCAAGGTCAACCTGAACTACATAGTGAGATCCCGTCTCAAAAAAGATTATTATGCTTGGTTGGATGAAGAAAATACTAAAAAGAAAAAGACTGCCAGGAATATTTTGGGTTATTTCATTTTCTGTGCCTTAAAAACATTATACATCTTACATGCTTTGTTTCTAGTCAAAATGGAGCTTTTAAACATTTATTGGCACATGTAGAAAAGTTTTAGAAAAAAATCAATCAAAACCCACTATTGTATCATTGAAGAAAATTTGTTTCTTAAATAGTATTGTACATGTCGCTGTAAATTTATCCCAAGCATTTTTGTTATTATTGTAAATGGAATTTTACATCTACTTTTCCTTTTTTGGGGGGTGAGGGGTTCCAGGAATCCAGCTCAGCATCTTGCACTTGCCAGGCAGGCGCATGTGCCCCTGAGCCGTCTCCCCGGCCCCATCTACCTTTTTCTAAGCAGTTACTATTTGTACACATGAAGGCTATGGTTTCTTGGTGGTTTTACTGAGCGGTCATTCACATCCCACCAAGTCTACCTGTTTGAGGTGTACAAGTCAGCGGTTTTTAGTATCATACTCAAAAGCTCGAGCAGCCCTCACCACGCTGCAGAATATTTTCACGGTCCCCCAAAGAAACCCATACCTGTTGGAAGTCCCTCCCATAATAACACCCATCTCTCCTGCTGCCCCAGGCTGTGGAAACACTGATGATCTACATCCAGTCCCTCTGGACTTGCCAATTCTGAATCATAAATTACCCGATCTCTTGTGGCCGGCATCTTTCACAAAGTTTCCATAGTGTACTTGTGTTGAATGTAGCATACACGAGTACTTCCTTCTCTGGTTGAATAATATTACATCGTATGATTATACCACGTTCTATGATTGTACACTCTACTGCACGTTGTTTACCCATTCATCAACAGATGGATACTTTTCCCACATTTTGGTGGCATGAATGATGCCATGTACACCCCTCTGCAAGTTTCTATCCACACATATTTTTGTTTCTCTTAGGTTAGACGCCTAAGGGTAGAACTGTGGCAGCATATGGTAACTATTTTTAACATTGCGAGGAACTCTCAAACTTTTTCTTAAAGCAGCTGTACCATTTTACACTCCCTCAAACAATATTTGAGATCTAATCTCTCTGTATCCTTGCTTTTTTTTTTTTGTTTGTTTTTTGGTACCAGGGATTGAACTCATGACCTTGCACTTGCCGGGCAGGCGCTGTGCCACTGAGCTAAATCCCCAGCCCTCTGTATCCTTGTTAATAGACATTATTGTTGTCTTTTTGATTCTGGTCTCCAAAGTGAACGTGAAATGTTCTCTCACTGTGGCTGGATTTGCATTTATTTGCTAATGACTAATAATACTGAGCATCTTTGCAAGTATTTAACTACTGCATATCTTGGAGACATGTCTCTCTATCCTTTGAAGACTTTTAAAGTTATTTGTTTTTTGTTTTTGAAATGTAGAGTTTTTAAAATATACTTTAGATATGTCTTAAAGGCAATTGTAATGTTAATTTCTATCTACCATACTGAATTCGCCCATGTTTGCGTCAGCTCTAGCAATGACTCTCAAAAATAAAAACAATTCTCTTGAGCTGTCCAGGTAGACTTTCATTTCTACAAATAGGGAGAATTTTATCTCTTCTTTTCCCGCATTCTTAGGCCACTAATTGTTTTCTGTTGTCTAACTGATACATAAAATACAATGTCAAGCAGTAATAAAGACTGCGGACATCCGTTTGTTACCCTTGACTTCAGCAGGAATGGTTTTAGTGTTCCTTGAATTTAAAAGTGGCTGTTTTGGGGGGGAAAGGTGCTAGAGGTTGGACCTAGGGTCTTACGCATGCTAAATATGTATTTTACCAGCAAACTACATCCCTGGTTCCTAAAGTATGCATTTTTCATTGATGATTTGAGTTTTTTTTTATCTTATTATTGCTGCTGTAGTAATGCTTCTATTTTATTATGTCTTTCTTTAACATTTCCAGTCCATTTTATAAATTCTTTTTTTTTTTTTTTCCGGTACCGGGAACCAAACTCACAACCTTGCACTTGCCAGGCAGGCGCTGTGCCGCTGAGCTAAATCTCCAGCCCCCATTTTATAAATTCTTGATAGCTTATTCTCTGCAGTCCATTTTATGAATTTTCACTGGGTGTATGTACGTAAGGCTTTGTTTTTCTTTAAAGGCAAAAACCATTAAACATGCAAGACCCCTTTTGAATTTCTTTCACAATGCTAGGACTTCAAAAATACTTGAAACTCGAAAAATAAATAAATAAAATTTCAATAAACAGTGGTTTCTTCAAAATGCAACAAAACAAAACAAAAAACCCGAGAAGCACGAGGTGTCAGCCTCTACGTGGGCATCAACACCGCCTGACTTCTTCTGTAAGTCAAACACCCAGCTGCACAATGGGTACGGAACGTGAAGAGAGAAAGGAATTCTGAATCTGACACGCGATTCCTGAGAGAACTGGCAGCTATACTGTGAGCTAAATAATGCAAAATTTGCTTAAAGCTTTGACATTTTTTCCTACCTCATCAGGTCAAAGTAGACATATTTTTTAAAGGAGACCATAAATTCTAAAAAGACTGAAGAATATAGTTTTGTTCAAGTTTTGTTTATCGAGGTCTACCGTGACTGATAACAAGGAAAGAGAAAATGTCAGCAGAAGCCACGCTGGTTGCTCACCAGGGTTTAGAAATGTTCAGTAAAGATCCGTGCTTAGATATATCTTGAGTTATAAGGACGGAAAAAATTCTTCAACTTTCTGTAAATAAAAAAAGTAATTTTCAAAAGAGCAAGAGTCTGTGTGTTTTCTAGTTTGTAACACTAATACTAGAAGGCTGTGGAGATGAACTTTGAGAAAGATGTCAAAGGGCTCAGGAAACATTTTGCCATTTCTCTTTCTTAAAAATTGACTGCATCACGCACAGTGGTGCACACCTGTAATGCAGCACTTGGGAAGCTGAAGCAGGAAGATCGCTGCAAGTTCGAGGCCAGTCTGGGCTAAAAAGTGAGTTTAAAGCCAGCCTGAACTGCATAGTGAGACCCTGGCTGAAAAAGAAAAAAGAAAGAAAAAAAAAAAAAAGAGAAAGAAAGAAAGAAAGAAAGTAAGAAAGAAAGAAAGAAAAAATTGACTGCATTATGTATACTGCATAGATAAATCTCAAAAGACTACTAAGAAAAAAATAATCAGGGAAAATGAATTGCCTTCCACTGATGTGAAAATAACATATTATTTTTATTTTTAATTTTATTCTTTGAGACAGTCTCTTGCTAGGTAGTTCAGGCTGGCCTTGAACTTACTATGTAGATGAGGCTAGCTTCTAACTCACGGGAATCCTCCTGCCTCACCCTCCTGAATGCTGGGATCATGGGTGTGTGCTGCCACACTGGGCGTTATATTTTTACACTAATTATAAATGTCATTAATTTTAAAAGAAAATTGTCTTAGATTTTTTCCAAGCAAGACTTCAGTGATTTGATTTGTCTATCACCAACATGAGATTATTTGCTTGCAGCTGGGTTTTACAGTTTTTAACATGAAATTAAATGCCAGATATCACATTTGACCCCTTTTGGGTCTATACTGACACTTACTGTCTGTGATTTCCCCCTGGATTCACTTTTTTTTCCCTGAAACACTAAGAGCCTTTCGTATTTCTTTTTTTTTCTTTCTTTCTTATTTCTTTTAGGGAGGTCTGTAAGTAGTAATTCGAGTATGTCTGGGAATGTCTTATTTTCTACACTCTTGAGTTACAGTTTGAGTTTTCAGTTAGACCTCTGAAGACAATTCTTTCGCTTTTTATAGACACGATGGGTGCTATGTAAGTGGTGGTGATGCGGGGCAGCCGCAGCCCCCATCTCATTTACCCTGTGGCATTTAGGACTAGCAGGAACTCGCCTGCCTCGGCCTGCCAGCCTTTCCGTCCTCAGGACGCCGGGCCCCGCCCAAGGAGTGGGAGACACCAGAAATGCCAGCTGGAGTCTCAGAGGCACCGGGACCCCTCCTGTTCTGCTCCTCTCTCAGACGATGGCCTCCAGTCAGCACTGACCTCCAGGCAGAGTGAAGGAGTGGAGAGGGAGGCTGTGGTTGCCGGGCGTCCTCCCCAGGCAGGGCAGGCCCTAAACATGCGCTTTCTCGGGGGACTCCCCGCAGCTCCCTGTGGAGACAGCGGGCTTGCCAGGGCCGGGCTGTTAGCCCTGTGAGCGCCCCACCAACATGCCCCCACCAACACGCTCCCGCCTCCGGTCTGAGATCCCATCGGTCCCTGGGATGGTCTATGGCTGGCGCTGTCCACAGGCCTGAATTTCTTGGAAGGTAACAAAAGCGCTTAAATCAAGCGGGAGGAGCAGAGCAAACCTCCTATGTTTATTTCCGATCCCGCTTCCTCCCCGGGGACCACTGCAATAGTTCTATATCACTGTTCGCCATCACCTCGGGGTCCGGGTTTCTTCTCTGACGGACAGTGAAGCCTTGGTCTGACCCGGAGCCAAGCCTTCGCACATTTGCGGGAACCTACCCGCCTACAGCAGCGCAAAAGCTGGGCCGCTCGAGGCGCTCTTCATATCCAGGATTTCACAGGTGCAGCCCAGCGCGCCGTGACCGCTCGGAGTGAAGCCTGGTTCCTCCACACCCTCAGCAGCGACTCAGCCCTGAGCGCGTCACATTCAAGCGAGTTCTCCCTCTTTTTGTAAAGCAAAGACTGTGTATCTTCCGCTGCCAGGAAGTCAGACTACGCTTTTAGATTTTTGTCTGAATTTTAAGCATATGTTTTGACATTTCTCTATTAAGAAACAAAATTAAAATGGAAGCAGCAGGAGATAAAACCTGGACCTCGTAACCCTAGACTCAGCTTAGGGCTGGGAGGCAGCACTTACAAGACCTATTTATTTATTTATTTATTTACTTACTTATTTTTGAGTCAGGGTCTTGCTATGTAGTTCAGGGTGGCCTTGAACTATGTAGCCCAGGTTAGCTTCAAACTTGTGGCAATCTTCCTGCCTCAGCCTCCTGAATGCTGGGATAACTGGTGTGTGCCACCGCACCTGGCTATAAGACCCATTTTATTTTTTTTTTGGTACCAGGAATCGAACTCAGGACCTTGCACTTGCCAGGCAGGTGCTTGTGCCGCTGAGCTATATCCCCGGTCCTAAGACCCATTTTAAATCCCAACTCTTCCACAAAACTTTTGCAGCAAAGGAATGCCTTTCCGACCAATTATGTAGAGTTTCTGCTGCTTGTGCCCGAAAGATGACCTGTGATCATCACAGCCTTACGTTGTTCTTTAGTGGTCTAACCTATGCTACCCTGAGTTTTAGTGTTTGAATATAAATTCCTTGAGAATTTGACAAAGGTAGCTTATTACTGGCGGTTAAAAAAATTTTTTTTTGGTGTTCTTCAGTATTAGGCATATAGTAGTTGCTTTAAAAAATGATGAATTAATCATAAGCGGACACTATTCAAGGGCACACTTCCTAGGCAGTAGCACACTGATTTTTTTTTAAAGAAAAAGTCCCAAACCTTACCACGAACAGCTGCAGCAGCAGCACCAGCAGAAGCAGCAGGCGTTGGAGCCCCGGCTCTCAGCTCCGGCCTGGGCCACAGGGGCGCCCCCGGGAGCGTCCTGCGAGGCCAGCGTCTGCCTCTTGCGCATCTCCATGCATTCGGATCCCATGGGCTGCCAAGGGAAGGGAGAAAGAAGGGCGGGGTGCAGAGTTAGGAAGACATCCGCGGAGGGATTCGGTGGTGAAGAGGCAGAGTCACTACATCCAGGTCATTTTTCTAATTCGGGTCGAACCGTTGTTAGAATCCGTCAAGCAAGGTGATAAGTTCCAGGGATGAAATGGCTAAGAGACTTGCCCTGAGGCCGTCAGTATGCGAGGACAAAGACAAGCACTGCAGACTGTACGAGATGCTACGCCAGGTGCGGTTCCCTCTCCCGGTCCCTCTGGGCTGGACCGGAGGGGAGCAGCTGCGCTCACGGTTTAATTACAGCTGCCCGGGAAGCCAGGGCACAGCGGGGAGGCGCCGCGCCCAAAGGTCAGCCACGCTAACCCAGCCACCAGCAACGCCGCAAGAGTGGTGGCCCTGAGGCCGAGTGTGAGGTCAGAGCTGCAAGACACTCACACCTTTCCCGGCTGCATGGCAGTGCAGAGGAGCTCAGCGCTGTACCCGAAAAGCTCAGAACACAGCCTGCTTCACAGTAACCGCTCCGTTATTCCCAGGACTGCGGGCTGCCCAGATCCGCCTCAGGGACAGTCGCTGCTGCCCGCCGCATGGTGGTCAGGCGTGGGACACACAAGATCTACGGCCTCCCACACGAGTGCTTTTTGCTGAGGACAAAGCAGTGTGAAGGGGTGAGGTGTACAGGGACCGTTTCAGAAAAGGAAGCTGAGTTCCTGGCAGAGCTCACTGTAAGCTGAATGGAGTTTGGAATTAAATTCCAGAGGCATTATTCTACTCTAAACTTAGATGTGTATATTCTCCTGACTGTGACCTAATCCTGTATGCGACCGGATCTTAGCTATTCTAATCTCCCACTATTATTACTATTTTGCAGTACCAGGAATGCAGTACCTATTTTACACTACCCAGGGCCTTCACAATAAGTACATCCCAGCCCTTGTTACAATTTTTTTGAGACAGCATCTAAGTCCCTAAACTGCCCAGACTTAGCTGTAACCGGTGCTCTCCTGCCTCAGCCTCTGGGGGTGCCACTGGCTCCTTTATTTTCAGGAGGAGGCCTTGCTACGCTTCCCCAGCTGGCTCAACCTGTCCTCCTACCTCAGGCCTCCTGGGGACCCGTCACTACACATGTGCAGCGCTCACCCGGAATATTTTGATTTTATTATATATTTGTAGTATTGGGTAGGTCTTTGTTTCCTTCAAAGTTTTCGGGTTTTGTTTTTTCAGAGGTAGGGCATTACTTTTGCCTGTTTGCTATCGTCTCCCCCACTTCTGAATTCTGGAATCAGCTCAAGTTCCAAAAGTGGTCATACCGGCGTTTTGATTAGTGTTTTGTAAACTCACGGACTGATTAGTGACGAATGGCATCTGAGTTTCTTTTAATCAGCCCGGCACCTAAGTTTCAGGACAACAACAGAGACCCATGAGCGGGCCTAACTGACCCTCCGTGACAGGGACGCAACGGTCACAGCACCCAGGAGCCACGCACGGCGTCCAGCCGGCCTGCGCGGGTGGGGCTCCCGGAGCAGGCGGACTTCCCCGTGGAAGCGCGGCCGCACGGACGGCTGCACTGTACGCAGCTGGGTCCTCCACACGGAACAACGTGTGACAATTACTTTCACCGGTATTTCTCTTTAATTAGCTGTTAACCATTTTTCTAATCTGCAATCCCCACGGCTCCCTCTCTCCCAGTGCTTTGTCTCAGTCCACCTTTGCGGGGTTGTGATTTGGTCTCATGATCTGTTGAATTTTACACTGAAATCATTAGCATGTCTCGTACAGATTCTCAGAATTCTTAAACATGGTTTGGTAATTTTGACATCTTAAAACATTGAAAGCTTTTTATAGAAGCGTACAGAAACTACCATTCCCATGAAAATTTATTAACAGCATGGGACCTCTCTGGCCCCCACATTCTAAATCAGCAGGCGTAGCTTCCGTTCGCTTACTATAGGCTGGAACGTTCAGCGGTGGGAGTGTCGTTTATGCCAGGTCCTGCTGAGCCGCGGAAGAATATGAGCGCCTGAGAGGCGCCGAAGTGTCAGCAGCACATGAACGCTAGAGAGAAGGGAAGGCGCGGTGGAGGGTGCTCGCCTGCTGTGCGCGGGGCCCTGAGATGGATCCGCCCGCCACCGGGAAGGAGAGGCAGACGCTGGTTCCTGTTGAACTGTGAGATCAGCACACGGGGTTTGTCTTGCTGTCTTCTCTACACTTATGTATGTTTGAAAATTTTCTCACTAAAGTTTAAAAAGTGTTGAATTCTATTAGGTTTTTAAAAATCTACCAAGAATGTGAATTTCCTTCCTGGAACAGTTTGTGAAGTGAATTGCACTAATGCATTTCTTGATGTCGAGTCACCGTTTTATTTTATTTCTTCCCAGTGAAAAATAACTTTTATTGAGATCCCACGAGCTGCAGAGCGCATTCCTGAAATTAGGTGGTTCTTCCTCGGCAGTACGGCCTTCCTAGCTGGTGCCATGGACGCGTTCTTCTCCTCCTTGACCTGGAAGCGGCAGTGGCCAGCTTGGAGGTCCAACTTCTCCAGAGCGTGCCCTTTGGTCTGCAGTAGCAAAGACTTGCGGAGGGCAGGCACCCCCTCCTCTGTTCCCCCCACACAGCCTTTCAGCCGGACAAAGCAGCCTCCCCCGAGTGGACAAAGTCACCCAGAGAGCTGGGACACCCCAGTGGAGCAAGCTGCCCAGACAGGCCATAATCGGTGAAGGCCTTCTGCTTACTCAGTCTCCATCCTCGATAAGGAAGCCTGGGCCACGCCTGTCGATCTTGCTGATCTCCGTGTGGTGATGGCAGCATTTCTGCCTGGCACAGGCCACGGAGGCCACGCAGGGAGGGTTCCGTGCTCTAATAGAGGCAATCTTGAGAGCCTTGGTGGGTCTTGTGGGCCAGCTTCTTGGTGTGCCAGCAACTGGTAAACCCTCTGTAGCCTTTGACAGTTGGTCATCCCGACGACATCAGTCATTTCATCCTTCCCAACACCTGGCTCGGGGGATCTGTTGCACACTGGGCCCTCTCCCGGGCCCAGTCCAGCTTCTCAGCTCTGGGCCTCTGTTCTCCTGGATCTCCAGGAGGCGGCCTTCTGCTGCTGGGGAGGGAGCAGGAGCTCCTGGGTGTAGGTGACAATGCGGGGGACTTGCAGTACTTCCTCATGCTTCTGCATTTCCCCAGCTGCTTCCTGCTCACGGTCATTCTGCCATTGCTTGGAGCATTTGGCGAAGGCCTGCTTAGAATTATGTCAGTTCTTACAGAGCAGCCTTCTGCATTCATTGCGGATGTCCTCAGCAAAGACGGTCGTGAAGGTCTGCAGGCCTTGAGGATTTTCACACATCCCACAGTCCTGCAACCACCACGGGCGGCGGCTCCGTCGCGGTCATGGTCTGCATAACTTTCTTCTCTTCACCCTGGGTCCGGCACAATGAAATGCATGCCAACCTTGTAGCTCAGAAAGGCTGTGAGGTGGACCAGCTGGAAGGGGTTATCCTTGGGGAAGCTCTTCACCTTCCCAGGATGCCTGCTGCTGCATTTCCGAGGCAAGAAGCCCAAGGATCCACGCCTGGGAGCAGAGACCTTCCTGAGAGACAGCACTCCGTCAGGTCCCGCAGTAGAGCCAGTCACCACTGTTTAGTAATTGAACTCTTCTAAGCCCTACGAGATAGCTGTTCACTTATTGTGCTACTGAAATCCATCTGGAGTTTATAAGGAGTTGTTTAGTTTACCTACCTGTACATACACCTACTACTTATCTTCACAAAGGAATTATTTTTGCCTGAATTTAGTAGAATGTGCCTACAAAATTAAAAATCTTTTTAGGAGTGCCTGCTGATGTGTGTGTGTGTGTGTGTTTGTGTGTGTGTGTGTGGGGTGTTACTGGAGACTGAATCCAGGGCCTCTGAACTGAGCTCTGTCCACCCACCTGTGGTCCTTTTAACTTTTTATTTTGAGACAAAGTCTTGGTAACTGGCTAAATGGCCTAGGTTGGACTTGAACTTTGCAATCATCCTGCTTTTACTTCCCCAAGTGCTGGGATTATAGGCGTGCAGCACCACACAGCCAAAAGCAATTATTTGAAGGCCTTGAAAATTGACTTAGATACAGTACAGGCAAATTTACATGCCATAAACAGAACGTCTACGTACGGCAGTTCAGCCAAGGTCTGCTCCCCTTCCCCTACACTCAGCGCTGTGGCTAAAAGCTTTCCCCCAGGCGGGTGTAAGCGAAGCTTACTGTCTTCTTTCAGCTTATGGAGGGTGCTAACTTTACCCTGGGAGGGTCACACCCCTCGCCGGCACAAGGGTGCAGAAGCTCTATTCTGAGTGACGCGGCCAAGAGGAATGGGGCTCCTCTGTTGCTCCTACTGCCCACATGCCGGACAGGATCTGAACCTGGCTGGTAGGGCAGGACTCTAGGGCAGAAGGGGCCAGCTAAGAAAGACCTAGGGCTGCCATCGCCCTGACCCCCGAGCTGCTCCAGAGGAGGGGTGCAGCTGCACGAAGCTAGCTATACGGGGCTGAGGTGGTGAGGTTCTTTCAGACCCGCAAGACAAAGACCCATGCAGCTCCGCCTGAGGGATAACTGCGTCCTGAATGGAACGTTTCACAGGTAAGAGTACTGTCAGAAGTACTGAGGATTCCAGGGGCAAGCAAGGAAGGGACCAGCAGTTCCACGACGCAGCAACAAGCAAAACAGCGAATCAGGTCTCAGACAACAGAACGGGCAACGGGAAAAGACACAGGCAGGGTCCGGAGGGTCCAGGGGTGGGGTCTCCCAGGCTTCCCCTCTCATGAGGAATCACGCCGAGCACATGTTCCCTAGCAACAAAAAGTCAGCCGTGTGGGTGCTGTCTCTGCCCACAGCACCCACGCCTGCAGAGCCACGCAGCACCCAAGGTTTTGCCAGACAGCTGGTCACCTACCATTCCTGCCGGCACACACCAAAATCCCAGACCTCCGGGAGGGAAGCAGGTGCTCAGCATACATC